TCACATTTAATAGTCGTTTACTAGAATTTCCATTTATTCGTGAATATTGAATCAATCTGTCCTTGTTGTACCAGCCTAGCCTGAAAATATCTATTCTTCATTCAGCCTCCTCCATCTGGACTCCCTTCAGGATCTGTCACTGCAGATCTTGTCCTTAACTTTCCACTTTTCCTAACTTCCTTTCTGTTCCTTAATTTTTGCTACAACTGCAGCTCATTCCCTTTCCAACTGCTGACTAGCGCATCTTGCTGCTTCCTGTGAAGTGGTTGCTTTCACGGCAACTTCCTTCACTGTGGACATTGCTTCTGGGCTCTTAGCAGTTCTGCATGTGACTTCCATTGTTGAATTCCCTTCTAATGTTTTATTTCCAGCTTCTTGGGGGGGGGGAGTATCTGGTAACGAGTAGGATTCCGAGACTTTCTATCTCCTACCTTAACACTAGGTTTGCCATGAAGGCTGCTTATTCTTTCCTTCTCATCTTTTGGTTCTTTGGTCCCGCCTCTCAACTGTCAATCAACTAGAGTACAAATTGTGTGTGTGTTGATTTGAGGTTGTTAGTAATCTTATAAACCAGTGTCGGTAGTTTTGTTTTTCTGTACTAGTTCATTCTTAGGAATGTGATTCTGTGACTCCTGGAGGGCACTAAGGGGGAGGAAGGTAGGGAGAACAGGAAGGGAGGGAAGCAGTGGATGAGGGAGACAAGGAAAGAAGGAAAGGAAAGGGAAAAGAGAAAAGGGGAGGGAGGGAGGGAGGGAGACCCCTCAGGGCACCCACCCAACCTATACAAGCATCACCTGGTCAGGTATAATTTTTATCAACTATCTTATAACAAATTCTTAACACTGTGCACAGTCACAATTCATGGTCTACTGAGCATTACACTCACATGACTTCTTTATTTCCAATCAATTCTATTACTTTATTATTAAATTACTATTATTAATATGTTGTATACAACAGAGAATACATTGGACAAATTACAGTGGTTACATAATAAGTAATTGTTTCTTACAAAAAAGTCACTATATACAATTACGCACAGCTTTCTGGGCGTAATACAGTAAAACTGTGAACATTGTCAGTCGTGGGGTGTTTGTGGGCGTGTAGCGGGTGAAGGCTCGACCTTGAGCGCTGGTCTTGCAGCACACTTCCGGCAACTAGACGTGACTCCTCCCTGTCATTATATAGATAGATATAAGTGAACACTGAACATTTATGTGGCAAGGAATTAAAGCTTCTCATTCTTGTAGTCTTTAGTCTGACATTCAAAATTTGATGCACAAACTGAAGGCTTAGCATTAATAAGTAATTATCAGATGCCAGCATGACTATATAACACCATTCAAATTGTAGGTAAAATCAAGGTATGTGTTTGTTACTCACGATACCATCACCAGAGTAGAAAGATATAACCATAAGGTCCTGTATTACACTTCTGCCTTCTTGATTCACAATCGGGGATACTGGGTTCGATGCCAGGCAGGGGTAGAAACAGTTTGGCACGTTTCCTTTTACCTGATGCCTCTAGTCACTTAGTAGTAAACAGGTACCCGGGAGCTAGATGAATTGTGAGTTCCATTATGGGAAGGTCTGTTAGGGGGGTATCAATAAACCTAAATACAGCTTCCTGACCATGACAATGGGAATTCATACATCAGAGAGACCAGATTAAATATACTGTATTAGGATTGGGTGTAATGATGTACAGTATAAACTAAGGGGATTGACGCGTAACAAAATTAATGATCATCTGGTCATTTAACGAGGCAATTTGGGCAATAAGAAAATATGAGTTCCTTTCCGGTCGGGAGCCGGTGGGCCGAGCAGACAGCACGCTGTACTTGTGATTCTGTGGTCCCGGGTTCGATCCCGGGCACCAGCGAGAAACAATGGGCAGAGTTTCTTTCACCCTATGCCCCTGTTACCTAGCAGTAAAATAGGTACCTGGGTGTTAGTCAGCTGTCACGGGCTGCTTCCTGGGGGTAGAGGCCTGGTCGAGGACCGGGCCGCAGGGACACTAAAAAGCCCCGAAATCTCAAGATTTCCAGAGTACAGTATGGCTAATATTCAAGCATGCTAATAAAGATTACCATTATCAGTTCTGATGACACGAAGGCCAGTCTCAAACATCACATACTTTAATGTTAAAACAATTAGAGAAGGTTGTTGGAAATTTTTGCTGTGTAATCCACAAATGACAGGTAATATATTTCGGAGACTGACAGGGATACAAGTCGAAAATATTGATATTGGCCAGACATTTGTAGAAAATATTGATATTGGCCAGACATTTGTATGAATGTACACGAGTGTAAATGTAAATGATGGAGCTTCAAAATGTACCAAAGACAATACTGGTCACACCATCATGAAGAGATAAAACTCCTGCTTCAGCATAAAAGCAGAAACATAGTAAACATAGTACTGTATACATTTGAACGGAAAGATTTTGAATACTATTCTGTATAATTTACATGAAGATACAAGAAATATTCATGTAATTAGCAGCTTAATCAATTTCAACTAACACTCAAATTACTATACAGGTGCTTAGCAAATTCAGTTTTGACTGCCAAGTGCTGAATCTTCACCGAGTGAAGGTCCTTGGCATTCATACCATACCAAATACAGTATTTCAACATAAGCCCTTATGATACATACTGTCAGCTCTCGAGCTGACAGTATTTATCAGCCACATTCGAGCTCTCCACTCCTGACCTCGTTCAATCTCTCCACTCTTGCCCTATCTTGAGGTTATCTTGAGATGATTTCGGGGCTTTTAGTGTCCCCGCGGCCCGGTCCTCGACCAGGCCTCCACCCCCAGGAAGCAGCCCGTGACAGCTGACTAACACCCAGGTACCTATTTTTACTGCTAGGTAACAGGGGCATAGGGTGAAAGAAACTCTGCCCGTTGTTTCTCGCCGGCACTCGGGATAGAACCCGGGACCACAGGATTGCAAGTCCAGTGTGCTGTCCGCTCGGCTCCCTCCTTCAAGCCTCGCTCAAGCTCTCTGCTCTTGGCTCCAGGCCTTGCATAGGTTCTTTTTTAGGTAAGAAGCTTTAACCAAGATATGTTAGGTACGTCATCGAGGTGCCTAGTGAAACTACAAGTAAGTAATTATCGAAAGAAAGCACCAAGCCTGGGAGACTATGTAGCACCATCAAAGGTGTAGGATATTCAAAAGGCGTTAAATATCACTAAGGATGTCAATACGAGAAGAAAAGTGCACAAGGCAAACGACATCAAAGGTATCCGATTCACCAAGGATTCTATCGAGACAGTTGAGAAACAAGACACGCCCATGTCCTGGAAAATCTGGACATTCAACAAGGATATGCACCACCGTAAGAGAGAGAATGCAGTTCAGACTCTAAGGAGCAGAGTGGCGCTCCATTAAGTGCCTGTGAGTTAAACATGTATGGCCAATAAGTAACCTCGCCAGAGCTGTTACACACTGGGGACACGCTACCCTAAAGAGCACAGTTTGCTACGAGTAACAGAAGACCAGTGACCTTGGCAATGGGCATAGATTGAGGAATGAGTGATTAGGTAAAAGTTGGAAAAAGGAATGCTTTTGCAAGAAACAGGACAAGTGCGGATAGCCTCCTGCCTGCCCCCAGGCTCATTTCATTAGATTATTACTTGTATCCATTATGTATAAACTAGGTTTAATGTTTAAGTAACTTTTATAAGGAACAGTATGAGCCCATAGCCTTCATGTGATTTTTTCTTTTCAGGACATACTGGTACTTTAAAGTCCTTCCAGGACTTTATTTCCTGTTGAGTGAAAAAGTTCAAGATGGGAGTCAGTCTACAAACGAATAATCGCTGATGGAGTGATGCTTGAGAGAGGAATTTCCAGCATGAGGGTGTTGATGTCCGTGAGCCTTGTGTTATGGGTGCAAACTATTGGCTGTCCATGGAGTTGGGCCAGGTGCGGAGTTTTGAGAATGCTGGCCTTGTACATAACAGTAAGTCCCCCAACATCTCAAGTGTTAAGAGGCTCTGATGTTCAGACCAGTCCAACCAGACTTTGTCAAGACTAGAGATGAGCTTTCTCATATGGCTCTCCACCATGTCCAAAATTCCAATAAATAATGGAGGGCAGGCAATCCAGTAGAGCAGTGTATACTCAAGATGGTTCATACAAGTATATGAACCACCATATACTCAAGATGGTTCACATAACTTGTGGTTCATACAAGATTTTGCAATCCCAGTGTGCATGTGTGTGACCCCTTTTATCAAGCTCAACTTAACCTTGTGATTAATGTGGTTATAAATCTACAAATAATTATATTAATAATGTGGTAGTAATAATACAACCCCATAGTGGCTGGTGGCATATATATATATATATATATATATATATATATATATATATATATATATATATATATATATATATATATATATATATATATATATATATATATATATAAATTGTCATTTGCCGAGAGATCATTATTTAAAGTATGTTACCAGTTAATTGAAAGCAGTAACACTGTTTTGTAGCTACCAACCACTGAGTGGCTCTTGTTGTGTACTGGAAGATCTGCCTTCTTCCATATGGAGGGCCAAATTCCATGAGCAAGACAGAATTGTTAGAAGGTAAGGGAAAGAACTATCAGGAGAAAATGCTAAGCCATTAAAACTATATAGCACATGGAAGAGATCAGGATAAGTATTTGGGATGAGACAGGGAAACAGGAAAGGTTCACAACCACCTGGAAGGACGGGGATTGAATGCCGACCTGAATAAAGTGAGACCATCACTCTACCGTCCAGCCCAAGTTGTCGAGTTGGTCGAAGCGTGTGCAGGATGGAGCCAACATGTCAACATAGCTGCATAGAAGTCTGGGGACTTACCTTATCTGCTCCCATGCTAAAGAAACATTAGACATACAAAAAGATAATTTATTTCTCTAATAAAAAACATAGATACCTTCCTTCCTAATTGTCTTAAACACTAGATGGTCAATTTTCAAATCAAAATACCTTTCAGAACATCAAATCTTTATTATAAAATCAAAAAGAGAAAAATAATTAACCACATAGCACTGTAATGACAACTGAAGCTGGGGGCCTATACTGTATTGAAATTTGTTGAATAAAACTATAAAATTTAGTACATATCTAATACATACAGTATCCTATTTGGTAGTTTTCTTGCTATTCAATAGAGTGAAGGCAAGAAGTAGTAGACTCCATTAAGGCCATAGGTAACAAGGATTACATTCTCACCAGCATCAACACTTCATTCCTACATTCATAAAAATATATACACATATATAGGTACAGTATTTACAAATATTCCTTCACATAAGCTTGCTCCATTAATTGTACTGAAAGGGTAAATTCTCAAGTCTTACCTGCCAAGGGGAATTTAATTATAAAACTCAACTATTGTGGACATACAGTAAAATGAGGATCCTCACTTATCTGTTATACTGGACAAGATACTATATAAGATATTGGAACAGGAACAATGACTTAACAGGCATACAAATGCTTGTGTGCAACCAAAATGCAAACATTCATGTATAAAGAAGATATTATAAAACAAAAACAAATGCAGATGCACCACGCTAACCAAACTGTAACGTGTATGAGTATGTTGCAGTAGTGATGGGTTATTCGTCCCCCTTGTTACCCATATTTGAGCAAAAATTGTCCGGGAAAACTAAAGCGAATTAAAGTTAATCACTTATGCAAAATGTTAGGCTCATAAAGTGGCCATCTTGGTGGGAATTTATTTCGAGATGTAGAAAAACCATAATGTAAAATACTCCGAGAAGCTAACATAAGGGGGAACATTTATGTAGAGCATAAAAGTTGGAAAACTTAATCATTTGGGGCTAGCAGAGGGCACCATATCAAATAGATTCAAACTATTTGAATTTCCCCACAACAAAATCATTCAATTTTTTTGCACCGTATCGCCAACAAAACTCGCATTTTGCCATGAGGTAGAACTTGCACTAGCTTAACACACCGGTGCCGACATATTGCTACCTGAATTTCCAATACTATCGCTCCAAGAATTTCCGAACTAAATTTTTACTTATAATTTCCCACTGTACTCCCTGAATACCATCAATGCTGAACTGTCAGCACTCTACCATCAAGTACAGAAGGTCAGCACTGACACACAACTAGTGTTGACTATAAAATAGGTAAATGGTGAAGCTTTTACAATAAAATGTATAAATTACCTCAATTTGCCTTTTTTTTTTATTTCAGCTACTTTAAAAAATTGAAAATGGTAATTGTCTGCATACCTGTTGAAGGCAATCCTTGTCCTCATCTTAGGCCTATACATCTTCACTATCTTTAATTCCCCATACGACTGACAAATGACAATTTTGAGAACTGATGGGGCATTGATGTGTCATCTGTCACTGACATGGAAATGGCAGACATGCAATACTCACAGAAAGGACCCTGGCATCTCTAAATGTACAGTTTTATTAGTTACATTAATTAAAATATTAAAAAAAAAAAAAAAAATTAAATAAAAGACAAGGTATTAACATAGTCTGATCATTGTATAAATGACTTGATCATAGAATTTTATTACAGTACTGTACTGTAGTACTATAATTAAAATATAAGTAAAATATTCTTAAGTTTAAAATATCACAGATAAGTCAAAAAGTGCAATTTAAGTGATTAAATCAAGGAGAACCCGAGGTCATACCTAACAGATTTGTACATCCTTGGCATTTTTCTGAATAGCATACACTGTAAACTTAGACTGACGTGTACACACACACACCACGTGCACATTCTATCATATGGCAATTCTTGAGTCAAGACTTGCCAGCAGCCCATGGAACATGCTCTATGGCATTTCTTCATATAAAAAATGGCAACGATGGGATAAAAATTACCACCTGAAGGCAGTAGAGGTATTACTGGCTTTCACTCATTTACACACATGTATTAAAAAAATGGAGCATGTGGTTTTTTCCATTGCACTTCTTACCACTAGGAAAATATTACTATTACTGCAAATGTTAAAGGTGGTGTATCACAGCAGGATTTTAACCACTAGGGACTTCTCTCTCATTACTCTATTTACACAACTTTTGTAAGAATAAAAAAGGTACTGTATTACCATACATAACACACACACAAAAGTGTTGTATGAAACAATTTGGCATCTACTATGATTGCTACAAAGAAGGCAATCTCTTCTTAATTTAATGAACTAGAAAATGCACCCTTAAGCAAACATTTAGGGTATAGTGGGTGAAGGCTTATAGGTGACTCGCAGCAGCTGCAACACACCTTCGTTCAACGCCATAACAACGTCACCTGGCAAAGGACAACAATACATCATTACATATATACAGTATATTGAATGACTGCAGTTAGATCTTATGGGTTATCCTCTGTATCTATTCAAACTGTTCACTCATCCTTATTAATGTTTTTTAATCAATTAAGTGACCATTATCAAAAGGACTGTCACCATCAGGTTGGTAGTGGAGGGTGGTGGTGGTGGTGGTAACCACAACAGTGTTGGTGGTAGAAGGCTGTGGTGGTTAGTATGTGTGTAGGAAATCTTGTTTAGTGAGTGTATGAGCAAGCTGCTCTCATATGTAAACCCAGCACAGTCATCTGTCATATACCATGTCGATGCACCCCAGGTACATCAAGCACCTAAATTATTGGGATTGTCTCAAAGTTCCCCAAATGTACTCCCTAGAAAGGAGAGGAGAGAGATACCAAATAATATACACGTGGAAAATACCCAGGTCCTGAGGGCCAGGTCCAAAATCTACTCGGTAAAATAACAACATACTGGAGAAAACGATATGGAAGAAAATGCAGAACAGAACCAATGATGAGCTGGGGTGCCATAGGCACAATCAGAGAACACTGTATAAACATCAGAGGTCCGCGGTTGTTCAACATCCTCCCAGCAAGCATAAGAAATATTGCTGGAACAAACGTGGACATCTTCAAGAGAAAACTACCGGCAGATAGTTTTCTGCAAGGAGTGCCAGACCAACCGGGCTGTGGTGGATATGTGAGCCTGCAGGCCACTTGAAGCAACAACCTGTTGGATCAAGCTCTCAAGTCCAGCCTGGCCTCAGGCCAGGCTTGGAGAGTAGAAAAACTCCCAGAAACCCATCTAGGTACATAACCCTGGCAGTAGGGTACTTGGAGTTATAACCGAATACCAATGTTGTGTTGGCAGGATATCAAATGATTTGTAATTAACCCATAATGGGCCATAGTGGAGGATATAGTCTCTTGTCAATGAAGGAGGGAGGGGGGGTGGGGGGGTTAGATTACCATGCTACCATGTCCTGGGAGAATGCTCTCACAAATATACACATTGTACAACACAGCCATGAAACATGGTTTTATTTATGCTAAACTGAGTGCTGTTTAAGGAAAGATGATAGAGCAATGTGTTATTGTTATTATGAGTTGGAATTGAGTGTACACTGATGAAATGTTTGAGAGTTAAATTGGATTACATTTGCATAGCAGCAAGTGCATCTACTTCCTGATTTTGTTATCTTGAGAATATTATTGTTTTATTTTGGCAGTTATAATGTCCCAAGTATGATCAAATTGTGAAATTTGGGCAAGTGAAATACTGTAGTTTAAAGAGCTAACTCTCATCTAACTTGCTTATTCAAGTCCTTTAGAACTGTAACTTTAGCTGACTCTGGAAGTCCTGTACCCATACTCTTCCGACGAAGGAAGCTATTGTATTCGGCTATAATGGATGATGGCTGTGTTGCTGATCTCTCCACCTTGAGCCTAACTTACTTCTATTGTTTTGGGTTGTTGAAGCTCATATTATAAGTGCAAAGAGAATATTAGACAAATTAGATGGTGGTTGATTTGATGATGGAGGCTATGTGGTAATGTATAAATTACCAGAAGATAGTGATCAGGGTGTGCACTACGAGAGGAAAAGTATTTATGACTCGTATGGTCGCTTAAGGAAAAGCCGTAAACCTGATAATCCATTCAGGTCAGTAGTGGGAAAATAATGTTGAGGTAAATTATGAATATTTAGATCTTTTAATGAAGACAATGATACCAACAAGGAACATACATATGGGCCAAGGGGCCTTCTGCACTTTCCTCAAGTCTTTAGTGTTATATACAGCAATACACACAATGTAGGAGCTTTAGAAAAATAAGGAAGAGTTAAGTAAACTGACACTTTATGAATATTCAGAAATAGTAAAGAGAAACATTTATGAATAATGAGAAGAAATCATTTCATACCGTTGCACAAATTACATGAATATTTGACAAAATATAAAAAAGCAGTGCAAAACTGAGGCTTATAAAGGCAATTTAGAATGAACAAAATGAAGCTAATGATTACCAAATAAAAGCAGTTATATAAAGGCCACTCAACCACGACAGAATCTAAGGGAACCAATCATCACTGAGGTCCGTTAAGGTAACATGGTGTGTGTTTGACATGCCTAGGTGGCATTTTAAAACTGACTCAAGAGATACAGTACTGTATTGGGTTTTGATGTCCTGGAGATGTGAAACAAGGCCCATTTTGGTACCATTTTGGTAACATTATTTAGACATACAGGCACTTTCCTAGGTGCCTACCATGTCATTCTACAGTTTTAAGACCATATGTCCACATAAATGCAAAACCAGCTCTGTGACCACCAGACAAACCAAAAGTCTGGGGTTAGAACCAGCCAGCTGTTGAGGTAAACCACAACTCATCATCCCCAAAAGAGGAATATATAAAAGGACAATACTAGTTAGTGCCAGGGGTCAAACAAAATGGCGCCCAGCGTCCAAACGGTAAGAGTTGCCCCTCTCTGAACCTCCAGCCAATCCCTGAACCCTAGGTAGATGGGATGCGTTTCTGTTGCCAAATGATGGCAGCATCTACATGTTCAGGGCTTGTTCAGAGTAGTTCAGAGGACATGAAACATTACACGATTTAGAGATTTTTTAGGCAAATGGACAAGTATTGCTTAGTATGTCGTAAGCGTGATTTCTTTGCATCTTTCATTACTGCCAAGAGCAGCCAAAAGAGTTAACAGATGTAATGGCCTCCGCCAGCCTGAATGGCATGTGTGCGTGATCAGAGAAATGACAGGTGGAAAGTCGGTGACTGTTGTTTACTAGTAGCCGGTACAACCTGGTAGTTCTTTGAGACAGCAGTTGGGTAAACCAACTAGCAATAAGTAGGTTTACAAACTCTGTAATGCCAAGACTTGTAAAGGCTTGAAAATCATGTGAAAGAGCCTTCTAGAGGTTATTCCAGACTGGATAAACTATTCCACAAAACATTACATCCCGTGCACAAGTATACACGAATAAGGAACTTTGACAAAAATCCCCATTGCCCTAGTTCAGAGTGGTGACTGCCCTGATTAAATGACACTGTCCATGGGACCAGCAGAACCTTCTTTAAGGTAACAAATAACATGTAAATTTAAAAAACAATGAACCACAATCTATTCCAACAAGGTATAAATAATAATACAATGAACACAGCTACCGTACATTGCTATAATAATATCCCTGAATATACAATGAATATTCAGGGATATTATTCCAAATAATAATACAATGAACACGGCTGCAGTACATTGCCAGCGGCAATCTCGCACCAATGCAAATAAAAGTAAACTGTACTAACCTTGTTGACTGTCTTGGCCTTTAGCACCTGGCTCTACTTCACATTCAGTCTTCAAAGCCTTACCCAGATGACCTGAAATAAGTGCAAAATTATTGCATATGTAATCACTTTGGTATACGATTAAGTCGTCGAGTCAAGTCTTTCTTCATCAGTAGGATCCAAAACCTGTACCAGCATGAAAATTATGACCTCGTACACCTAGTGCACATCATATACAAAATAAAACATTTTATCTATTTTCATTAGGTTAGGTTGGATTGGGGGTTACGTTTATTTAAATAGTTATAATGTAGCATACTTCACTCAAGTCTTTAAGAGTTATACCTTACTTAACTTCATATTGACCTCCAAATTATTTGTAAAACATGTACCCACATTTAATGCACGAATAGATAACTTCACACCCAAGAAAGAGACTTTTACTGCTTGGCAAAGTCTTGTTTAAACAAATTACATAATGTCCCATTTTGTCACTTATCATTATTTGCTGTATTTGGTTGTTTAATGTTATAATTAATATGAAGGATATGGCTCAATAAATGATTGATAAATATGAGTTATTTAAGAAGATTATGTTTAGAATAATATTTAACCACTGCGTAACCTTAGGGTTTGATTACATGATCAAATACAGACCCAAGGCCAAGCACTGGTGTGCAAAACCTGATGTATATCCACCGACTCCAGGGGTCACAACCGAAGCATTAAAATAAATCAACATTCTCCAACTCTGACTCAACGTTTCATAACTAACACATTCGGTATAGAAACTTTCCAATTTGCATCACATTCAGTTGATGGCTACTGGTACGATTGCAGTCTCGTTTGCTACCTTCAAGTTATTTTCCCACCTCCATGTACATACTAACCAGCTCAGAAAACATTTTATTTGTTACAGGAATATTTTAATTTTGTTTCATTTTAAAGGCAAGTTCAAGCAGTTATGTTCACTGCGTATTTGCCTTACTGCATCAATAAAAGTTTTATTTTTACAGTCCATACAACGTTTTCTACAACATTTAAAATGTTAAATTTTAAATTGAGAATGCATTCTACTTTATCCATGTGAGCCCTAACAAAAATCTAAGCAATATCATTTTGAACATTATCCTCAGGAATAAATCACATGAAATATGGAGCCTACTTTAGCCTACGGTATCACAAAAGGGTTCGAACGGGTTATCCGGTCCTCTTGGAGAGGGAGAACACACTAATCCATTCAGTAAATAGGTAGCCGAGACTTAGTCAACTGCACGTGGTTTCATTCTGGGTAAGGTTTGTTGCTGGTCTTAGAAGACCTGGATAAGCATACAAGCTTTTTGTTGTTCTGTGTGTACTGGGAACAATGAGCTATCCCTTGTGGAGCTACACTTTGTGGTGGTGTTTTTTACACCACAAAGCCATGGAAGTACAGAATCTGTTGCGTACATGATTCTAACTTTGTACATTTCAACTTCCTATACATATACCAACTTCTAATATATATTTTATCATAAAATATATTTATAAACAAAAAGAAGAAGAACACTTACTGAACAAGAGAGCAATTTCTTGGATGATTTCTTGCGTTAGACTTTCAGAATCTTCAGTGTCTGCCCTCATGTATTCGTCGTCGTCTTGATTGACAGATTTTTTGTCATGTTGGGTTTTGTTAGATATAATTTTCTTGAGAGGAATCAGGACAAACTTGCGTGTGTCCACCCTCCCGAGCCACCTGGCCAGCACAACAATGCTGGTCACCGAGTTCATCATCAGAGCCTTGTCACTAGTGTCTGCAGTCATCATCAAACTATTAACATATGGCTCTTAAAATACAATAAGTACAGTAATCAAGTTTTATACATGTAGCCAGGCAAGTACAGTAATAAGTAATGATGTCATTTGTACTTAAACCCATTTTTTTTTTAAGGGAAACAGTTGGTACATATGAAATAATTTTAATAATCTATAAAATTAATAAAAAGGAGTCATCAAGTTTTGCTGTCAAGGTCAAATTTGACAGCAAAACAAATACAATCGTTGGTGCTCTCCAATTGTCCCCGTCACACTGCCTCTGTGTAGGGAAGGGTTTACCAGAGATCTGGGATCTGGGATCTGGAGGCCTCCAGATCATAACACTTCCAGAGGAATATCCAAAGGAGAATTCTCAAAGCCAAAAGGGTTGTCACATACTGATCCCCAAGCATGTAACACACAAGTGAAGAAATCTGTTCACAATCTTCAGAGAAGTGACACTTCTCAAGGAAAAGCGAAAAAATGAAGCAAGCAGAGCTAAAGCCTGTCTTTAAGAGGGAAATGAAGATAGTCCTGGTAATCCTAGACAGTGGTTCTTACCCTTTTGTGAGTCATGGGCCCCCCTTTGAAAATCTGGTGAAAGCTATAGACCTTTCCTAGAAAATACATAAGCACAACTTAGCATGCAATGAATATACTTTATTTTATACAAAATTGATTACATCACACAGTTTCACTTGACGTTCAAGGCCCCCCGGAAGCTCATGCATGGGCCCCATGGGGGGGTCTATGGACCCTAGGCTAAGAACCCCTGCCATAAGGAACTCCAGACATGACCAACACCACAAAGGCTGGCATTAGGACTTTAGTTCAATGCGCAGAAAATGCTCCCAGATAAGAAGAAGGCTGCAAATGAAGAAACCATTCACCTGGGCCAAAGGAATAGAACCCACACTTCCAGAAGAGCATGAAGATCCCCAGCCTGACAACAGAAGGCAAGCACTAAAGCGAGGAAGGAACAAGACACCAACACCCTCCCGAGAGACCAAAACAACCGAGGAGGAACACGAGCCAGCCCGAGGCACAAGAAAGTTCAAGACAACATGCAAAATGGCACCAAGGAAAAACCAATGCCAAAGGATAACAAAAGTGGCTCCACAAAAACCAAGTGACAAGAAGCAACAGTAATAGGCATACAATGCCTACCTATAAACAATCAAGACAAGAATAAACAACCACAGGAATAGACATAAGAGACATGATGAAAAGAGCATCAGGAAGCTCATATGGCTGCCATGACAAAAAGATACACATTCAAGTGTAAAATACTGTATGTGTGTGTATACACACACATACATATATACATACATACACATACTGTACCTGCTAGTCGTGTAATAACATCCCCACCTAATGATATACGGTACTGTATTGATATACACTCCACCAGACAAACACCACCACACAAACACAACTGCCATTTAAAATCAAAGAAATATAATCACACATGTAACTAATACACCACCATGTGAAGGCGATGAGTCACAATAACGTGGCTAAATTATGTTGACCAGACCACACACTAGAAGGTGAAGGGACGACGACGTTTCGGTCCGTCCTGGACCATTCACACAATCTACTTGAGAATGGTCCGGGACGGACCGAAGCGTCGTCGTCCCTTTACCTTCTAGTGTGTGGTCTGGTCAACCACCATGTGATCACCACCACACACGGCTGATATACACATCACCAGGCAAGAATCACCAGGCAGTCACCAACTAAAGTTAAACAAATACGTACCTGCTAGTTGTGTCAGTAGTTCATGAGCCAAACGTGAAGGTTGTTTCGGCGGATGTTTTCGAATACTACAGTGCTGTTCCAACCATTCGATAAGCTTCCGCCGGACATTATCGCAACCAATCCACTCCCCATGATAGGACACCCACAAGATAACTTTCTCTATACCAGTATAATCTGATGGAACGTAAAGAAAATAATTTTTCAAATACCCAGTTTTTTCAGATGCAGTACTGTTAACTTTGTGATCTGAAGTATGACAAAAGAAAAACCAGATAGCCACAGGAAAAAATGTACTAATAAGCAGCCTATATACTTTATACTCTATTCTAAATACTGCATTAGTTTTTGAGAAACGGTATCACCAAGTTCTATAGCTATGTCGATCTTCACCTGGGCTATACCTGGGAGAAGAGCATGTGCAGTAAAGATACAGTAATACACACAGAAATCACAATGGCGTGATGCATCAAATGAACAAATCCACAAGGGCCGTGACGAGGATTCGAACCTACGTCCGGGAGCATTCCAGACACTGCCTTAATCGACTGAATTGAATGTCGTAGCTCAGTCGATTAAGGCAGCGTCTGGGATGCTCCCAGACGTAGGTTCGAATCCTCGTCACGGCCCTTGTGGATTTGTTTAAGATAGAGTCATATGTAGTGAAGATCTTTGTAGTTCATTTGGGGAAGGGCCAAAGACTGTGTGTAATGGATACATATAGTATGGCTGACATTGTACGTAAAGATATAACCCAAAAACCTGGGTTTTGGATGGAGCCGAGACCTCAGAAGTCTCTGGCCCAGAAGGATATGCCGGTAAGTGTTTAGACAATTACCTTCACCTGTTGACTTACACACATATACGGTAACTCTTAAGTTAGGGATACATTGTAGCAAGTGACAGACTGACATATTAACCCATATTAGTCTACCCTAACATGGTTTATTATGCCAGTGAACATTTGGTTACATTTAGGCATGATCTATTGACAATCATCTTGCATCATTTTACATTATAACATTTATTGCTTCAAGGTTATTTATAGCCTGTACTATGAAATCACATTAGCATGATATATTTTGGGGAAAATACTGAAGCCATATGATGGGAAGTATATATTAAATTCAAGAACCTACTGGGTATTATGCATGTAGTGAATCTAAGGCCTGGTGAAACTGTAGTCTTACGTTACTACATGTTGCAGACGACGAGTCACAATAACATGGTTGAAGACATGATGAACAAAATACTCGGCCAAAAGATGAGGAGACGATGACATTTTGGTCCGTCCTGGACCATTATCAAGTTGATTATCACAACCTACTTGATAATGGTCCCGGATGGACCGAAACGTCGTCGTCTCCTCATCTTATGGTGTGTGTGATTTGGTCATCATTACTACACATTCTTGTGTATAAGAGCTGCTGTTATGCTTAAGAGATTACATGACTGAGGAATTAATTACCCTGCCAATATCACGCACAGTAAAGAAAACGGGACTAAAAATTAATTTAGCCATTATGCAGACAATATAACTAATAATTTATTTTTAAGAGTTTGTCAGAGGGAAAATGCAGCCTGGCAGGTAGTATCACGTGCAGGAGGACTACAATAAAAAAAATACATAATTCAATTAGGTCTTAATTCCTCTAATTAGTTGTTTCACAAATCATTTAACAATGACATAATGAGTCTTACCTCTGTGCTTGATCCCATAATAAAACAATTTTCGGCTGATGTGAGCTGCTGACAGAAGAGCAAGATGGACTTTCCCAGGGTGGTGGAAGAGCAGATCTAACAAAAACGTGCGAACCAACTCCCACTGCTGAACGCCTCTGCTGTCTGGTACTGTCACAGTTGCTGCAAACCACGCAGACAAACATGCTAAGCTCCGTGGCTGTTGGGGACAACAAGCATCGCATTAAAAAAATATTGGAAGATGGAGAACTATATTTTTTTTATGTATATACAAGAGTTCTTACATTCCTGTACAGCCACTAGCACTCGTAGCGTTTTGGGCAATAGGGATGCTTACCCTAGGGATAGGGTAAGGGAATAATAAGGATGCTTACCAACATGTACTAATAACGTATAAACATGTAAACAAGGAGTTACCTTCAATTCATAAAACACCTACATTTATATTTTAGTCGGATGTCATTTAATAACTGCTTGCCCTAACTTTGCTACCTTTTACAAATCATGACTTGGTGGGGTACCAGCAAAATCAAAATAACGCAAGAAGAGTGCACCTGTGTTTATCGCAGACACTGTTTTCCACCAACAGACTAGCACCGCAGAACAGGGTTACCTTGAGGTGATTTTGGGGCTCGGCGACCCCGCGGCCCGGTCGTCGACCAGGCCGCGGGTGGGTGAGACACAAACTTGGATACATTACTGCACATCTCTGCTATTTCTAGATTTCTAAGCTTCTTTGGAATTTGTACATTTTGTTCATGTGTTACTTTTATAATGAGCCCTTAAATGTAAGAAATAAATCTAAGTGTGTGCCCTTTAAATGCAAATTATAACCGCCATGTTGTAATACCACAACAGCAAGTTCAATGCATGGTGGAACCTGTTGTGCACCCATAGCCTCATATGGGTGCTTCCTTCACCTCATTTTGTACATACAACAAAGTTCGCAGCCTTAATAATCATATCTCATTGGCTCATCTAATTTTGATTAATGCTCCATGAATGTATATTTAAATGAGTAAATAATCATGTGGCATGAATAAACACCATATAAACAAAGCAAGATACTAGTAAATGTTTGATTTTTTGTTTTAATTATTAATAGGGCTAAATGTTAATTTAATTAGTATTAGTTTAATTGTTAATAGGTAGCTACCATCCAAACCTTGGCAGCATATTTAATAATAATAATAATCCCATTTGACCACCTATTCTATTTACTGCATAACTTGAAAATGTTTTGGTGTCTTGATACCATGTACCTCTATTGAGGTACTGTATATAATTGTATATAGGAGACAATTTCAAAAACAATATATTTCAAGTAACTTTGTACCAGATGTAAGTGTTTCAAAGACAAATAATATTAAAAATGCAATAAATTTGAATTGCAAATATTTATTTTGTCATTATTTTATTGCATTTATAAAGCGAGTGCTTTCTATATACTGTACAGTGATGCATACCATGAAAAAATTAAAATTTATTTTAAAAAGCTATCATGGAATATGAAACTGCTCTTTCTGGAGGGCACTTTGATGGTTCTACACATACCAGCTCATTGCTGGTCATAAAAGCCTACCAATTACCAGCAACCTGTCGTCTTGAATAATACATTGCATTTTGATATTGAACTACAGTACCTCCAATGTACAAGACAATGTACAAATACTTCTTTTCTGGGAGTTTTTTTTTTGGTGAGGGTGATCATGAATCCCCTGCTCCCTGCGCCTCTGTGAAAGGGTCACATTTTGGCCTCTGGTCCCTGGGTAGGCTGACGTGACTCAAAGGGGAAAAAGCTACCTGCGAGGCTAGTTTCATGAAGCCACCATTTGGCCCCTCCAGAAAACAAGATGGTGCATACCTGGAGAGAGTTTCGGAAGTTCTTCTACTCCTCGAGCCCTGCCTCAGGCCAGGCTCGGTAAAGAGCCACCACAACACTACAGATGCAGACCTTGAACCACATATAACTTAGTCTACTGTCCGAATGTTAGTGCGAATATCCAGCCTCAAAGATGAATATTAGATCTACCGCAAATTTCTTAATACCTGTACAATAACGTGAAGCCTCTCTGTCCGACAGCTGCCCATAATTGAAGTTCGGCTATACAATTCATACAGTATATACTACTGATCAGTTACAAAAGCTCAATTGGTTAATAAAAAGCAAAATGGGGAAACGTGTGTTCAATTTTACTGGATCAAGTGAATTCAAACGGATCATAATAATGAATAAATTTATTAAAAGAATTACTTAAAACACTATCCAACCTAGATTTAACTACTATTCAACTTATTTTCATTTTGTAAAGTATCTTAATAATTTACCATTTTTTTTTTAATTTATTTTGAATTTCACTTAAGATATACTGGTATGTAGGTGAAAGCTCTACATTAGCCAAACTTACCTGGAGATCAACAGATGGTTTACTAATAAGGTTGTGAATGATCCTCTTAATCATTTGCCTAAGATAGAACTGGGGGAGCTCCAGCCGCAGTTCCAGAATACACACTACTTGAAACAACTTGAAGAGTGTTGGGGGAAGGCCCATTGGTCTGTCAGTGTACTCCTCTGGATCACCTTCAAGGATACACTCTACTACATTCCTGAAAATATATGAGTGTGGTTATATTTGAAAAACTTAAACTCTCTAGAGTCATTTTATTCAGATTTTCCTTAACCCCCCCCCCCAAGTGCTTAAGGGTTAAACCCCCTCCCATCATCAAAATTACAAACCCGAGCCAAAATATATACATATATTTTATATTTTTCTAATGAAATGGTAAATCTGCAACAAAATTAAACTTTGGCCTGGGCAGTGGGCAACATTTATTCTGGATTTGGTCGGCATCACTTTTTGTTATGGAAACCAGGACCAAATTTTAAACTTTGAAATATATTTGAAAGTAAGGAATCGGTTTGTAATAGAAAAAAAGAGAATACCAAAATTATCTTATAGAATAAAGACCTTAAATGATGACCTAGGTAGATGTCATCATGTAGTGGAAGACCAGAAGCTGAAGCACGTCTGACTCTTTAATTATTTTTTGGTGTCGCAAGTCTGCTTGGAGCCGCCATAGAGCTATAGAAACCGTATGGGCAACATTGATAACATGATAATTACATTTCACTAGACGACGGTGCATACTCACCCAATTGTACTCGCCTAATTGCAATTGTGGATGTTGAGTCTTGGCTCTTTGGTCTGACCCTCTCAACTGTCAATCAACTGGTAATTACCCAAGTGTAGTTACAGGATGAGAGCTACGTTCGTGGTGTCACGTCTTCCCAGCACTCTGTCATAATGCTTTGAAACTACTGACTGTTTTGGCCTCCACCACCCTCTCACCTAACTTGTTCCAACCGTCTACCACTCTGTTTGTAAAAGTGAATTTTCTTATATTTCTTCGGCATCTTTGTTTAGTTAGTTTAAATCTATGACCTCTTGTTCTTGAGGTTCCAGGTCTCAGGAAATCTTCCCTATCAATTTTATCAATTCCTGTTATTATTTTGTACGTAGTGATCATATATCCGCTTTTTCTTCTATCTTCTAGTTTTGGCATATTTAATGCCTCTAACCTCTCTTCGTAGCTCTTGCCCTTCAGTTCTAGGAGCCACTTAGTGGCATGTCTTTGCACCTTTTCTAGTTTGTCGATGTGCTTCTCAAGATATGGGCACCATACAATCGCTTCATATTTGAGCTTTGGCCTAACAAAAGTCGTGAACAGTTTCTTTAGTATTTCGCCATCCATGTACTTAAAAGCAATTCTGAAGTTAGAAAGCGTGGCATAGGCTCCTTGCACAACATTCTTTATGTGGTCCTCAAATGATAGCTTTCTGTCTATAACCACCCCTAGATCTTTATCAGAAGTCTTTAAAGATTTTCCACATAAACTGTGGAAAATCACCAGTCTCATGAACCTGGTGTACAGGTTCCTGAGCCTATTGGGCTCTCATCATACTGTATCTATATATTTGAAATTGCGTACGGAGTCTGCCTCAACCACATCACTTCCTAATGCATTCCATTTGTTAACTACTCTGACACTGAAAAAAATTCTTTCCAATATCTCTGTGGCTCACTGGGTATTAAGTTTCCACCTGTGTCCTCTTAGACGAGTCCACCCATGCTAAATTATGTCCTTATTTACCTATCAATTTCCATGAGAATTTGATGTGCTAATCATGTCTCCCTTTAACTTGTTTTCCAGCAATGTAAAGTTTAATTCTGGTAACCTGTTCTCATAACTCATTCCTTGCAGCTCTGGAACTAGTTATCTCATGGCATACCATCACGTAAATTTATCATTCAATCACTAATAATCTGACTTACTGTTTATAGAGCTATCCAAGTACTATACAGTGCAAGTGCCTATTGTCTGGTCTCACTATTGTGCTACAAATGGTGACAGAGACTTGCTGCTGCCTGGGGCATCTTGGTGCATCTCACTGGCTTTCTGACAATAGGAAACCATACATCTACATCACAACACACATCAATACCGTGATAAATGTCATGACATTTTAGACTTACCTTAGTAAAGCCACAAGTTGAGTAGCTTGGAGTGATTGACAAAGATTATTCATTTGTGTACGCCACGGTTTACTATGAATATTGCAAGAAATCAGGTCTTTAAGATCTTCCAAATAGTTGCCATCTGAAAGGCAAAAGGAAAATTATTCAGATCATTACATATGCATGATTGTGTAACAATCCATGTGTGCTCGCAGCTATGTGTAATTAGAAGTCAGATTTGTTTATAGAGCATGTGTATATGCTCATGTATCCATCTTTGTGTGCATAGGCTTGTGCGCACATTCATGGTATTGAACTAACTGAACGTACATAATTAAATTTACATTTATGCAACTGATTGATATGTAAACATGAGAATATATAAACTATTTAAAATTTTTACAAGGCTCTACTACCTCCTCTTCTTTAACACCAAAAGAACAAAATCTGGTTTTGTAAAACTGCTAATATTTATAACTAATAACTAGAATTACTATATGCACAGGACAACAATATCACACAACTTGTAAGTTTAACACCAAGGCTTCTCTAATTTATAATTCGTATTATTTTTATGTGCCGGGAAACATAATGAGAGATTCATAAATTGAAAGCTTTACCAAAAATACACAACTCTGCTGTGTGCTAACCTTGTTCTTCAAGCAGCGGTGGTACCGGCACAGCTGTGGTCGATTCAATGCGTGCACACTGCTCTTGCTGTTCAGCTGCACTCTCTATTTCTTCAAACTTGCCAGTTGAAAATGATGCTTGCTGTGGTAAGGGTGTCGACTGCTCTTCAACTTGACAGTTTGGCAAGCATTTTTGACTGCCAAGTGTGCTAGAAGGTTCACTTTTCAAAGCATTTGAACTGCTATAGAAACTTGGTGGCTGAACATCTACACTACCTGCTCTGTTTGTATACCAACTACAAGATGGTCCACTTAACGAGGTCTGAAATGTTTTGGAATCAGACTGCCTAGGGTATTCTTTTCTTTCTGCATAACTGACTGCTCTTGTTGAACAATTAAAAGTATTAAGTATGGGCTTATTTTGATAGTTTGATGTCCTAACATTATCACTTTTGTTACCTTCTTTGGGTATATTATCATTTGAGACATCCAATTTAAAACAATCGCTTTTCTTTGAGAAAAGGCCATCAACAAACCCAGAAGATGCTGGTATGGGTTTACAGGAGGGTGGGGGTTGAGATGTCGGTACTGGTTTGGGCTTTGGCACAACTCTTGGTCTATCCAGAGTTCCCAGTCTCGCAAGAGAACCCAATATACCAGGGTGTGATGCATTTACTGTTTCCTTCTTAATAAGAGTAGTGCCTTCCTCAACAACTTTGTTTCTATCCTGGGAACTCCACCTCAACTTATTTTTATGTTGCATACTCTCATTATTAGAAAAACATTTATCATTGGGGTCATCGATCTGTAGTGTCCCTTCACTGTCATCACTATCACTAGTAAGTAGCTTAGGCAACACACTGTCCCTGTGTTTCTTCTCTAAAGAATAAGCAGGTCTTTCAAGTGCTTCTCCTTGGTCCACCCGTTTCCGAGACGTTTCGTTATCTACTTCATGCTTCCCAGGTAATGCTGTGTGTTCATGTTCCTCAGGAGATGAAATGTGATCTCCATGTTCCTTGGGAGTTGAAACCTGATCATTACATTCCTCAGAAATTGAAACGCGACTTCCACGTTCCTCCAAAATTGCATTGTGACCCCATTCATGCTCCTCAGACGTTGCCATTACTTCCTCTTCGTGTTTCTCAGGAGAAGCATCATGAGCCCACTTGTGTTTTTCAGGTAGTTTTGACACATTTGTCAAACTCTTCTTTCTTTGTTGTTTTTCCGAGCTTTCTGGAAATTCATTTAGAAGGATTGTTGTACGTTTCTTTACCTGTGTCCTCATATGAGCTGCCTTTAACCTTGATGCAATTTGAAATGCACTTTCTTTTGAATGAGCAGGAAGACCCCGAGTACTATTATTGTTAATTTGAACAGAACTCCTGTCACATGTTCTACGGTACTTTACAATCTTTTCTGTAGTGTCACCATTGCTTCCTTCTCCACTTCCTACAGAAATATTGGACTCGGGAGCAGTGTCTAAACCATCACCAGAACTCGACGGGCGCTTGCGCCTTAGGGACATTGTCCCTACGTGATTGTTTTGTTTTGAATGAACATTACTTAATTCTTTAGAACACACCTTTATTCCCGTGTTTTTGCTTTGTCCAGTTTTAGGCGTTATATTATTTGAAATTCTATGGGGTTCAGTCTTCTTTAAAGCAGTCAATTTTCTCCTTTTGGAGAAAACACGAGATGACTCTATTTCTGAATCATCAGAGTCACTTGCCACATGTTTAACTTGTGTTTTATTAAAACCTTCAAAAGATGAGAATGAATCATTATCAGAAATCCCTAAATGATACTTCCATTCCTCTGGTGTTAATTTTTCATCATCGGTATCCTCTTCAGAAGCACTTGGAACCAACTTAGAAGCAATGTTCTTGGCGATTTCACATCTTTTTCGTCTACTAATGTTAGACTTCTTAACAACTGACTGGTTACTACTTTTGGGTTGTAAATTCTTTACTTTTTTGCAGGTGTCCGAGTCACTGGAAAACATTTCTAGAGAGCTTATTTCTGACTGGCTATCATTTTTCCTTTTACTGGATTCATCTGACATCTGATTATTTTTCACTTTCATGCTTGAGGTTGCATTTACTCTTTTTCTTCTCTTGCATTTTCGTTTTTCAACTGGCGACGACTCTTCCGGACAACTACTAGAACTTGAGCCACAACTACTGTCACTTCCAAATAAGGATGTTCGCGAGAGCCCTTTTTTTGATTTAAATAAATCTGGAATTTTATTACTCCTTGTAGTTCTCTTATGTGATTCATCATTGGAAGTAAGTATCAACTCTTTGTCTACAATTTTTTTTACTGACGTTTTGCTTAACATAGGTTGACTGTTTTTATCTGTAACAGAACAACTCATTTCTTTATCTTCTCTCCTCATGGCTTCAGAATTATTACATGGTCTTTTCATGAGTCTATCATCAACTTTTCTACTCAAGGCTTCAGAATTATTACACAGTCTTTTCACGAGTCTATCATCAACTTCTCTACTCATGGCTTCAGAATTATTACACGGTCTTTTCATGATTCTATCATCAACTTCTCTACTAATGGCTTCAGAATTATTATGCAGTCCTTTAATTATTCTATCAACAACTTCGTTACTCATGGCTTCAAAATTATTACACGGTCTTTCCACGAGTCTATCATCAACTTCTCTCTTTATGCTTCTACAATTACCGAGTTCTGTTTTTGTGCCACTGCAATCATCTACAAAGGAGTCCCCTGATACTTTATCATCTGTCTTCTCTGCCTCTTCATTTTCCACCTCTGAATACTTTATTCTTTTCTGTTTCCAAATTCTATTTTCTAGCGAAAACACAGCAAGAGTATGGCTGCCATACAAATCAGGAATAAAATTTCTGAGTTTCTTTTTCAAAAAGAATCTAACTTTTTTCCTTACAGGAACTATAGCAGGAGCTTGTAATTTTGGTCCCCAACAAAACGTTACCTTCTTTGACTGAATAGTGGTTGTCTGTGAAGGTTCCTCAAGTGTCTGATCTTCGGTCTTGGCCAAGTCTATTGCCAGCGACATTTCTTCAGTATTATTCGGCTTAGGTTGAGAATTGTCTTGAACAAGCTGATCTTCATCACAAAGGGACATGGCTTCATAACCATTTTCAGTACTTGGTGCAGAAGATTCAACAATATTATGATTTACACAGAATTTTCCACTCTTCCTTTTACCAGTTTGGAATATTTCATTCATCTTTTCTTGATTAATTAACTTCTTCTTCTCCAATTCTGCAATTCTGCAGCTGCTCCTTTGGCGCCGCCGCCTTTCTGCCGCGTCATCCACTTCACTCTCATTCTCGGTAATGGCTTCAACACTCCCAGAAAATGATTCATCATGTTCAGTCTCAAATGTTTTAGATTTCTTTGCCACATTTGTCGACTTACTTGGCATTTTCTTGTTGCTACAGTCATTTGTATCACTGGCCAAGAGCTCCCGTTTTAACTTGTTCTTTATGGGAGAGGAAGATTTGGGCTTTATGGGAGTCGACGATTTGGGCTTTATGGGAGAGGAAGATTTGTTCTTTATGGGAGAGGAAGATTTGGGCTTTATGAGAGAGGAAGATTTGTTCTTTATGGGAGAGGAAGATTTATTTTCTCTGTCAGCACTAGCACAACTTCTGAGACCATATTTTCTCTCGGAAACGAGACTCAAAGACTTAGATCTTAGATGTTTCCTTTTCTTATCTATACTTAGGTCACTAGACACACATGTCAATTCAGCTGCAGAACCATCCTTAATCTCCTCATGACCATTAGCAGTATCATTCGAGTTATAATTAATCGTTTTCCTTGCCAAACAAATGGAACTTTTCTTGTCACTTCCAGGCCCTGTGTCGGGTATACCATTCTGTAAGTTTACCTCGTTTGTTGACCTGTTTTTGCTGTCATTTTCTGTTGCCGCATTTGTGCAGTCATCTTCTGTTGCCTTGTTAGTGTTATCATTCTCTGTTGCCTTGTTAGTGCTATCATTTTCTGTTGCCTTGTTAGTACTATCATTTTCTGTTGCCTTGTTGGTGCAGTCATCTTCTGTTGCCTTGTTAGTGCAGTCATCTTCTGTTGCCTTGTTAGTGCAGTCATCTTCTGTTGCCGTGTTAGTGCAGTCATTTTCTGTTGCCTTGTTTTTGCTGTCATCTTCTGTTGCCTTGTTTTTGCTGTCATCTTCTGTTGCCTTGTTAGTGCAGTCATCTGTTGCCTTGTTAGTGCAGTCATCTTCTGTTGCCGTGTTAGTGCAGTCATCTTCTGTTGCCTTGTTAGTGCAGTAATCTTCTGTTGCCGTGTTAGTGCAGTCATCTTCTGTTGCCGTGTTAGTGCAGTCATCTTCTGTTGCCTTGTTAGTGCAGTCATCTTCTGTTGCCGTGTTAGTGCAGTCATCTTCTGTTGCCTTGTTAGTGCAGTCATCTTCTGTTGCCTTGTTAGTGCAGTCATCTTCTGTTGCCGTGTTAGTGCAGTCATTTTCTGTTGCCTTGTTAGTGCTATCATTTTCTGTTGGCTTGTTAGTGCTATCATTTTCTGTTGGCTTGTTAGCGCAGTCATCTTCTGTTGCCTTGTTTTTGCTGTCATCTTCTGTTGCCTTGTTAGTGCTATCATTTTCTGTTGCCTCGTTAGTGGAGTCCTTTTCTGTTGCCTCGTTAGTGCTATCATTTTCTGTTGCCTTGTTAGTGCTATCATTTTCTGTTGTCTCGTTAGTGCTATCATTTTCTGTTGCCTTGTTAGTGCTATCATTTTCTGTTGTCTCGTTAGTGCTATCATTTTCTGTTGTCTCGTTAGTGCTATCATTTTCTGTTGCCTTGTTAGTGCAGTCCTTTTCTGTTGCCTCGTTAGTGTGGTCATTTTTTGTTGCCTCATTATTGCAGTCATTTTCTGTTGTGTTATCATCATTACAGAGGTTGACAGTACAGTTAACCTCTGGGTTACCTTTGTCCTTCACTATAGTGTTGCTAGTTTTCATGCCATTCAATTTTGTGTCTTCAGTGGTCTTTTCTTTATTTACACTGTCCCTTTCTTCTTTTTCATGTCTACTTATACCTGCTTCAAAGATGCAAGCTTTATGCAAAACATCCAAGGTTTCTTCATTGCCAGATACATTTTGGGGTTTATTTTGCTCTGACTTTTGTTTTTCCTTTGCACTAGGTCTAACACCACCGCTATGTTTGACATTTGTTCCATCTTTTTGGGTATTGGATACACTGTCCACTTGAGTGGCTGGGGGTATAGATGGGTCTTCAACTAAAGTCGGAAGATCCAGCCTGGCTTCATCTCTATTGTTATGATTAATCCTCATCTGATCTCTTACCTCATGCTCCATCTTCAACAGATTGCTGGCATCACAATCCATCTTCACCTGATCGCTGGAATCTACTCTATTTACATCACAATTGACTGCATCTTCAGAAAACAAAGATTTACGAGGCAATTTACCTGCTTTTGCAGGTAGTGACGGAAGCCAAGATTTAGGTCGCTTTGACGGCGAGACAGGTGATAAAGGTGAAATCAGTTGCTTAAGAATATTTACATTCTGGTTGTTTACATCTACACACAATCTGTTTGTATCCTCTCCTTGACTGTTCACCTCTGCACGTTGACCATTCACCTGGTGACCACGACTATCCGAGTAAGGAACGGGAATATTGATAGGGCTTTTCTTGACAAATGCCACTTTTTCCTTACGGCTCCACTTATTTTTATTAACAGTATCTGTGTCTTGAATAGAATGCTTACTGTTTTTGCCATTGGTATTTAACACAATATCTCCCGATTTAATTTTGTCTTGCTTCACCATAATTGTGTCCAAACCCTTAATACAACTTACTTTTTCGCTTGTGTGTTGGCCATTGCCAAAATCTTTGTTTTTTGTATTAAATTTATTATTAGCAGGTCTTCCATGTTCTTCATCACCTGTGTATACACCTTCCCGGCTATCATTGTCTCCTGTGCTAGATAAAGGTGCTATACCATTTTCATAAATTTTTTCAACTTGTGTATTTGATGGAACAATGTCTGTACTGGTCACACTAACTTGATGCTCAGATGTATTCATTACATTATTTTTACTGCCGGTTAGACCACGACCTCCCAGGTTATTTCTCAGGTCACTCATTTCTTCCCGAGTTTCTGTTTTACTCATTACTTGTCTATTTTGATCAAGCAGTTGTTTATAGGCCAATTTAATGTCCTCAATGCTACGGTATGAACTGCTACCATTTTCACACACTAATTTCTGATCAGTCTCTAAATTATCAACAGATTTCTCTTTTCGTGTCGAAACTTCATCGGCAGAATTGAAAGAGTTCAAGTGTTGATCGTGTTCCTCAACTATAACTTTAGTTTCCTTAATAGGTGTTTCGGCTGCATCAACAACGTCACTTGTGTCATTCACAGCATTGTACACATGGCCTAAGTCTTGAAGATTACACTCGTTGGTTTTCGGGTGACTATTTTCCGAATGACCGAGCTTCTGCGATCTACTCTGGTTACTTCTAGTGTGTGTTATTCTTTGAGTATTACTAGAGCAAGATGAACTTTGATCATCAATATTGTCCGACATACTTGTGTCATTAGTAGTGTGTGACGTACTTTGGTCATTAGCGCTGAGAGATATACTTTCATCATTGCCAGAATGTGTTGTACTTAGGTAATTACTAGTGTGTGCTAAACTTTGGTTGTCACTAGAATGTGTTATACTTTGATCTTGACTAGTTAGTGTTGTGTGATGATCATCACTACTAGTGTGTGATATGAGATCACCACCACCATCACCACCACCACCACCACCACCACCACCACCACTAGAGTGCGCTGCACATTGGTCCTTACTGGAGAGAGTGTTCATACAAGTGCTTTCTGATTCAGCAATCTTTTTATTGCTGTCAGAAAAGACCTCAGACTGAGCACTTGAAAAATCCTTCCCAGCTGGGACAACCAACAGGTCCCTGGAAGACTTATTCAGACTCTTAGTCAAAGGTTCCACCAAATCTAATTTCTTGTCTTTACCGTCATCACGATCATCTGTAGTGCTGCTGTGCCAGTCTTGACCATCTTCATTATCAATGGAAAAGCTTTGTGAACCTCGAAATCTTTGAAGTAAATGAGTGCTCTTATTAGTTTCCAATGTTTCTTCTTCGTTGGATTCGTCAGAATCTGAAATTCCCAAATCGTCTAGCATACTGTCTGCTCCCTCCCGAGTTATGGCAGTAACTGAAAATCCTTCAGATACCCGCGATACTATTTTCTTGGGCGGTGGCTCACACTCGTCATCAGAATCACTAATGGGGCCAAATATATCATCATCATTCAATATATCAACCTTTGTGTTATGTTTTTTATTTACATTTCCTGTCGGTTGATTTTTGCTTTCTTCGGAATGCAATGATCTGTCCGAGTCTTGCAAAACAAACGAACTTTCCAAACAATCCAACTTGGCAAGTGGTTTCATGTCGGCTAAAATCTGGTTAATTACGTAGTCACCGTCTTGAGTCACACATGAAACGTCGTGGTTATGCTTCTTGTTCTCCAATGTTCGTTCTACACCATGGGCCTGAGGAGAACTTTGGGTTGGACTGACTGACAAAATTTGTTTAGTCTCAGGCACGCTGTCATCAGTATCAGATTTAATTTTTTTAACTTTATGTAAAGTGTTCATTTTAGACGAGCTATTTTTTGTTTTATTAAGGCAAGTGGTGTCATGGCGTTTTGATGGGACTGAAAAAGACTTCTTTTCAGGAGTTTTTGAGTTCAATACATTCCCACTCTTTTGTACGACAGCTTTATTATAACTTATGTCGTCGTCATCGTCATCATCCTCAGAATCCATAATTGATGGTAATCTCTTTATCATTTCTTCATTTTTGTTTTTTCCCTGAATTTGCACATGAGGCTTTGCTTTGGTTCTCTCTTCTGGAAGTGCAGGTATTTTAACCTCCAATGGCGCTTTAACAGCAACCTTCTTTTCTGGCCCTTTAACAGCGGCCATCTTCCTTGTGATGACACCACCTGAATTTGCCAGATCTTTCTGCAGGTCTCCTATTTCTTTATTAATCTCCTTGTCCTCATCATTGTCTTGTATCAATTTATCAAGCTGTAAAGCTTCCTTGGCCAAAACACTTTTGGAAAAAGATTTCATGTCATAATCTTCATACAATTCATTTAGGCCAGCATCAAAATCATCTAGCCAACTTTCTAAGGAAGGTAAAGAAGCAATTTCAACCAGATTTTTCCTCAACCTTTTCTCTTCCTTCTTGCGAAATTCTTCATATTGAGAGCAGAGAACACTTTCACTCACTTCCAAAAGTGACGTTAGTCGATTCCATTCAACAGATGTTGTGCCTCCTGGTAACCAATCTGTTGTGAAAGTTAGAACTGTTAGACACAACATTCATAATACATACACCTGAAATATAAGACAGCATGTCACACGAACAAGTAAGTGCGACAGAGGACAGGGCCAGAATTCATTGAGCATTTATGCAGCCACTTATGATACCCGTACATCTTTTTTCAATCACGATGGTTTTGTTTATACTGTATTTAGCAGACAGTAAATGAACTTCGAAACTTCATAACCTAAGGATATTATTGTTATGAACAACAACAACATTCCTTCAGCTCTCAAAATATTTAATAAATGTAAACAAAGTCACCATAATTGAGGAAAAGATGAACAAGTTCTGTAAGTGGTTGCATAAATGTTTGATGAATCTTGGCCCAAGAAGATTGTAAAGAATATATCTATGTACTGATACCTGATGCTTCTGTTGACCAGACCACACACTAGAAAATGAAGGGACGACGACGTTTCGGTCCATCCTGTACCATTCTCAAGGCGATTGTGAGAATTGTGAGAAAGACAATCGACTTTAGAATGGTCCAGGATGGACCAAAACGTCGTCGTCCCTTCATTTTCTAGTGTGTAGTCTGGTCAACGTATTTCAGCCAAGTTATTGTGACTCCTCACCTGCACCTGATGCCTCTGCTCTCACAAAGCACCTAGCAAGTAGGTGTGGGCAAGAGAAGAGCCTGCAAGCTAGACATGCCTCATTACATCTATTAACATCATATTACCTGCACCACACACCCAAGTAACCCATATGACTCTTGCTTCAATGATAAATACTGTAGTCGATTTTATAATTGTTTTCATAGGGATAACAAACTTGTGTGTGCATGTATGAATGTATATTTATTTATATTTTAGGTTTGTATCAAGGTCCCTCCAAGGTCAAACTACTGACTCTCTAGAGGATGCAACCCCATAACAGTTGCCTAACTCCCAGGTACATATTTACTGCTGGGTGAACAGAAACATTATGCGAGGGGAAAACATGCCCAACTATTTCCATTCTGCTTGGGAGTCAAACCCAGAATCAAAAAGTGAGAGTCAAGAACAAAACCATCTATACTATGAGAGAACCTATGCACTTCTAATTCTAAAATATATTGTAAAGAAGACCACAGTACTATATAATTGTTAACCCCTGCACTGCTGCAATATTTTTAGCAAGATATTCACCAGTGACCCCAAACAATATAAATATTTTTTCTTCGTGTATTATAGAAAATTATAAGGTAGACTGAAAAATACAGTAGGACAAAAATTCTCGTTGCCATAGTACTGGTCTGGTTCACGAGACACAAAGTCATGCTAAGAGGTCAATATTGTCACCATCATCCACATGTAGCCAAGAGTGTGACAATGTACACTTATACTATTTATACCTACTAATGCACAGGAATTAACATGCATTATAAACCTAGGCATTTCCCAAATATTAGTAGATACTACACATATATATGATACTAGATACTACTACATTTCCTTACCACTTATGAAACACTAACATTGTTTAGTTTACACATTGACAAAGTTGACATTTGTGTGATTTAATACTGTATAGTAATCCATAAGCTAAAATAATCCAAAGAGATTGGACTTATTTTTTTCCAACAGTAAGTACAGTATTTCATAACAGGCTGCTTTGCTGGCTACCATGTGGAAGCATTACATATTGTGCTCCCTGCAGTAAATGCACTTTGAATATGTAATACTGACAGCCCCACAGTCTAAGCACCAGGTAGTTTTAATGCAAAATTAACAGCCCAGAATATGTAAATAATTCTACATTGAAAAAATTTAAGAAACAAATTATAAAAGGCTTTAGACAAGGTAGGTTTTTTTGAACACATTTTAAGCTGACCTCTTTCATCTAGCAGTAGTCCATATGTTTCTGCCAACTTCAGACTCCATAGGACCTTCTTGCTGTTGCGCTCAAAGTGCTGCCGTCGGTCACTGATGAATTCCTTCAGCTCACTTATTTCACCTGCAGTGAACATGTCATCATTGTTTGGGTAGAAATTAATCATTAAATTGAAAAGACAGTATGGAAAATTACCTTTCCTTGTAACTTTCAATTTAGTAAGTGCAAGAATTTTTTGCTTAAAAATCTGTAGTTGTTGTAGTATGTAACAAGTGACTGTCCTCGTGTTAGTGGCAGTAGCACGTTACAAGTGACTGTCCCTGGTGTTGGTTGCTGTAGCATGTTACAAGTGACTGTCCCTGGTGTTAGTTGCTGTAGCATGTTACAAGTGACTGTCCCTGGTGTTAGTGGCTGTAGCACATTACAAGTGACTGTCCCTGGTGTTAGTGGCTGTAGCACGTTACAAGTGACTGTCCCTGGTGTTAGTGGCTGTAGCACGTTACAAGGGACTGTCCCTGGTGTTAGTTGCTGTAGCATGTTACAAGTGACTGTCCCTGGTGTTAGTGGCTGTAGCACGTTACAAGTGACTGTCCCTGGTGTTAGTGGCTGTAGCACGTTACAAGTGACTGTCCCTGGTCTTAGTGGCTGTAGCACGTTACAAGTGACTGTCCCTGGTGTTAGTTGCTGTAGCATGTTACAAGTAACTGTCACCGATGCTTGCTGGTGTAACACATTACAGTAACTGTGCTGCTTGCTGTTAGTTGTTGAAGCACATAATTGAAAATTCTTAGTGGATTTGAATAATTCTAAAACAACGTAATCTATGAGAAAATATTGGTGCAATACGATGGGATATAACTCGCGTCCCCAGACTCCTCAAACACACACACATACTACAAATTGCCTAAGTACAGTACTGGGAACAAGTTGAGGGCTGTAAGTGGTGTCCCAAGTTACATAAAGGTATAGAGAAGTTTAAAAGTAAGATACAAGAAATAAGCGAGTGAAAATTCTGTGTTGGAAAAGTTTACATTCCACAACAAACGTTAGTCAATAACAAAGATGGCCGCCACCACGGGGAAGGTTAACACACCAACAGATGATTGTTTCAAAGGATTCTTGCCACAAGATATACTGAAAAGAGGTTTTCTTGGCAGGTTAGAGATAATTGAGGATATGCTAAAGAAATATGAAGAAAAAGTATTTGAATTAGAAGAAAATGGAGCTTTCAGGAGTGACTTTTGCACTTTATAAAAAAAGTATTCCTCTGCACGTTCAAGAAAATTGTTGCCTTAATGGACAAGGTAATGTTTCAGGAAGTCCAAATCAAGGAACTAATGAAAGAAAATGAGGTATGGAAAGTGAAGAGTGGTGAATTTGACAAAATTAACAAAATACTCCTATGGTGAACAACTTCAAGAAACCCTAAAGGCCAACAGAGCTAGACAAAGATATGAATGGATAAACTTCATTGACAACTCGCATAGAGGAGGTTAATAAAGAATTAGAAAAGTACAAAGAGGAAATTAAAGAGACGTGTGCAAGTTGAAAAAGAGAGAGAGACAATCAAGGAAGTGTGATTGGAAGTGTAAAGTAAGTATTTTCTCCCATTCCACATTCTATAACATGGCATTTATTCACATTGAATTCCATTTGACACATAACACTCCAAGCACTTATTCTATCTAGGTGAATTTGAAGGACATGACAATCATCTAGGCTTCCTACTTCTCTAGTAGGAAGCCTACTAGAGGTTTGTTTTTATGTATCATTTAACAGGTTTTCCCAGTTCCGGTCACCTTGTAGAAAAAAAAAAATCTCCATTTCTATTTCTATTTAGACGTTTCGCTTCGTTGAGGTTTACTTTTATCGTTGTCTTCCTTCGAGAGGACGCTTCTTAAATGACCAAAGTTTCCCATCCTCACCGTTATGCAGTTTCCTGGACTTCCTAAGCACTTCTGTCATTTGTTTCACTCCATTAAATGTCACCCCTTAATGGGCGATTCTGGTCTTTCTCCTATTTGTTAATCCTACAGTCACTGACAACTTCCTTTATCGTGACGGCTTCTTCTAAATCTACTATTTTCTCTATATTTTCCTCTTCTGCTGTTACTCTATCCTAGATGAAATTTCCTTTTCTAAACACCCAAAAATTATTGTCTATCTGTCTGTCTGTCAAGTCCAAGAACGCAAGTTCAATCCCATTGTATTCCCTCAACATTTTCTTGATACATCATGTTATCATTTCATTGTGCATTAGGGGAAACTATTTTTGTATATTTTTGTATTTTGCTTGAAGTAGTCATGTAATGTATAACATGATTAGCAAAATTCAATTCAGTAGCTAAATGAGATGTTCCATACTTTTATTATTGCTAACAAGACAAATATAGCTAGAACAGAAGCAGCTTTTAAGAGAAAGCTTGACAAGTTTTTGTTGGAGTTACCAGAATCAGCCTGGCTGTGATGGCTATATAACCCTGCAGAGTACAAACACAGACTCTCAAACCATACACTCATCAAGGAAGGCTGGCCACAGGCCAGCCTTCCTTTCCTTGATACAACTATTGAAATCCTCAACAGGCAATCTTCAGGTAAAATGTAAGCGTCATATACAGCCTATAAAAAAGAACAAGGAGGATAAAGTCTTCAAGCCTAACATAAGATTACCTAATCTTATCAAGTTATCCACTTTATCAGTAGGAGCACATGCACCACCTTGTGCACTCTCCGGCATATTAGTAAACCTGGTCCTAGTAGCCAATACTTTTGGTGCTTAATACTAAATGGGATATTTTCAAATCACAAGAGAACATCATTTGTTAAGTGAAATCCAGAAGAAATACTGTGAACACTTGACCCGATTCCTCCGTGTTTTAAAGAAAGACTAGACATTAAGCATCTTTCTCTGAAAATCTCCAGTAATTTCTCGGCAAGTGATTACAGATGCACTGAAGTACACAATCCATACATGTTATAACTCTGCTGGCATGCAAAATTCAGCTGGAAATCTTAACTAAACACTGGTGGAGCAGGAGCCTAGAAATCATAAGTAAACATTGGAAGATAAGAATCATTTCAAAATCAAACAAATGTATTCTGCATACATTTTACTGCTTCTGGTAGGGGGTACAATTGGCCACCCAAAGAGGGTTTTTGTTAAGCTAGCAAATGGCAGAACAAGTCGTCCCATATTGGTACAACCCTTTAAGCACGACCATGAACATCATGGTACAACCATCTCTATAGACAAAAGCATGCTGCCCATCCCTGAAGCTTTAATTCAAGGACATTTAAATAAAACAGAGAATAAACATACAAATGGAAATGATATTATAGAAGAAGGAAGTTCCTTACCAAACATTGTTAATAACTTGCCAGAATATCTGCCTCGAGTAAATTCAGGCATAGCAACAGAGAACAGCGATGTTTATAGCAAAGACCAAAGAGTAGGCCGTGGTGTAGAGGCTAACCTTGAGTTGACAGAAATCATCACTTCCTTCCCAACCACCACCAAAACCACAACTACAGAAACCACACAAACAACAAAAATTCCCTCCGTGCCACCAACCACGACAAAACCCACCCAGGCATTACCCGATTCAATCTCGACAGCTTCTACAGCACTTCCTTGTCACGAATCATGTCTTGCAGCACTAAGCGCAACAAAATTATATTCCAACGGCAACTTAGTACTCAGCCAAGGATCAGACTTGACACTGACGTGCGAGCTTCCGCTTAATACAACAATCTACACAGATAATCTCATCTGGCTCTTCCACCCATACAACAGCCCTCAAGGCCAATGTTCTCTCACTACGCAAGAGTACATTCCCTCTTGTCATGGGTTCCAGTCTATCACGAACACCGACGATCGCAACGATACCTTCCTCAGAGAAACCATCACACTGAGTAACCTCCAGACCAACCATACGGGACAATATATGTGTCAGGTGTGTCTTAGTTCGAACATAACATATGCAATTGCATCCAATTCTTGCTTATCCTGTGAAACAACACAGCATATAAATAGTCTATGCTTCAATACAGTACAGTAATTGAAGTTAAGAAGTAGAATCACTAAAGTAGAAGCCAATTAAGCAAAACAAAATGCTGGAATATTAAAAAAATAAAATAAAGTGGTGAACGAGGTGAATGAGCTCCCCCCAATACTCCAGTAGCATTAATGTTTATGTTCTGAGCCTCACTGGAGAGCAAACCACACTAGATAAAGTGTAACACAGAGTAATCACACTATCATGATGTATCAATGAGAAAATCTGTAGGAGCCGTGATGGGGGTTCAAACCTATGCATTGGGTGTTCCCAGGCACACGCTCTAGACAAGTATACCACGACATGGTACCGTGTGGGGGGCAGCCGGGGAAGCTTTTGATTCCTAACATGGTTTTGGCAGCCCAGTAGCTAGTCAATGTTCCTGGTTGTGTGTTGCCGTAGGCCATGTCTCCCAGCCTGATTTATTTTTATTTTCCTCAGTGTCCACTGCCTTTTCTCCTTCCTAGTAATTCCCATTTCTGTTCTCTGTGGTTAGTTCGCTAAAGAGAGCCACTGGGGTCCCTCTCTAGAGAACCCCAGCATTGAGTATAATAAAATGCCTCTTTCTGGAGGAGCCCTGGTTACTCCGATTCCTCCTCTCCCCTTCAGGTTTGTCAATTTGCCAAGGGTTGCTAGTCAGCTCCAGAACTGAGGTGGTGATTCAACCACGGAATGGGGCCAGGCCGCCTGGTGGGGATAATCATTACTGTACTAGCGAGTTTTGATCTAGTTTGAGTGAACCCCTTATCCCGTGTGAATCACTTATGGAGTTCTTTGCCCGTTTCGAGGCTTTGTTTTCGGTGGCCCCTCCAGTTGTCTGTAATGCTTTGGTGACTTTATGGAGGATTTGTCTGGTGGGGTGATGGATTGTCACCCACTGCCTGTGTGAGGGGGTGGGAGCAGGTTCTGCCTCTGGTCCCCGGTAGGCCAAACCGAACTTCATTACATTCAACGCTGGGTTTTGACCCATATAAAATAATGTAAAATTTACCAGTAAATTTTCCCCAAAATATTGTCAGCAATACAAACAAAAAGTAAAGGTAGAAAACACAATATAAATCTACTACATATGTAAAATGATTTCTATTGCACAATTAATTATAAAACCATTTTTTTTTTCTAATTCTAATTTACACAGCACATGATCCACCCTATTTCAAGGTCAAAGATACGTATCTAAAGTCATATTTTGCCAATATACACGTCACCCATAAGAGAGATGTGACACTTCACTTGGCTACTGGAAAAACATGGAAGGCATACCATAACAAAAGTAAAATGCACCCCCCCCCATTTTCCTACTGTAATGAACTTGACTTTGCCTATACTCACTGGAAAACCACTTCACACTGCAGTCCTACTTGACTCCTATTACTGTCTACTTAAGTACCACTCGAATCACATTATAGTGCTTCCCTTATATTGACCATTAAATAAACAAGTCGAGGCTACTTCCCTCACACCACTTTAAATAAACTAGTAATGGCTGCTTCTCTCACAATTACCAATATTAAAAAAAAAAAAAAGTCAAATTCTGCACATTTCAATAATGTTCACCAAAGTTCAAAATTCTTGAAGAAATTTGTAATGAAACACATGCACACCACAGTACACGAGGCCTCCACTTGAGGCAAGAAAAACCCTCAAAAGGAACAAGGCATCACAAAATGGGTAGATAAATACTATACATACCTATATAATATAAATACAGTACTCTCTATATATATATGCACTACAGGTTTTTAATATTAGGAGTGTAATCATGGTCAACAGTCTTGGCACCATGACATCTTTCTTATACTGCCCATTGACTAGTATATTTTTCTATTTCCAAGATACAAAGCTAGTCATATACTAATACATATTGTGTCATTCTACAGGTGGAATTAACTTGCTGTCTGAGCAGTAATGAACACATTATGAACCAAGAACGTATCCTGCACATCACAGTCTGGATGTCCAACTATGCACTTGACCTGGCAATAGCAGGATCCGTCACCATAGGCCTCCTGCTCCTTGTGCTCGCAGTCAACTGCTTTTTATTTCAACGCCACCATGACGATTACATTACAGTCGAAGATCAGATTAAGGAGATCAGGCCATCGACGGTACTCCACATGCCATTAATTGATGACCAGGATACTGACAGTTTTGATAGCAACTTTGATGAACAAGACTAATATTACAATTGAAGCATTATCAACTACGTAAACAAGATTCATAATCATGTTGCAGAGTTCTGTGCTTTTCGTATTTTTTCCGTATACCAAGGATTAAATAATTTAATGTCACATGTTCTACAGGTCGAATTACAAATCGGATTACAAATTGCATATCGGATTTTCAAAACCTGCCCCCCCCCCACACACACACAGGATTGGATTAGCCAAATATATCCATGTACAATTGATTTGTAAAAGCTTGATATTCAAAATAAAATGCATTTACCAACTAAAAAATGTGCTCATACATACCAGAATTCCAAATAAAGATTTTGCAATGATGAATTGCCACTCTGCACATGATAGCTAATTTCAAGAGTTCACAAGAATTTTGCATATATAAAACACTCATGAAATTTATCAAATTCTTAGTACTGCTCGGTAATCCTAAATACAGTATATAGACCCACTCCTATATTTCAAGTTACCCAGACTTAAGAGCTGCCCAAATTTTTTACCAAGACAGTTAAAAAATAAATTCAAATTTAATTGGGTTTTTGTTCCAGAAATCTCAGTAACCTGAATTTCTATTTAGTTGAAAAGTCAAATACAGTACCCAAATTTACCAGAATCTGAATTATGGAGCTCTTACAGTATTATAGCATGTTATTCAATCATCACAACAATTATAATACAAATTTATAGTTTGCAGAATAACATAATATATTCTAAAAAAAAAAAAACGTGTATAGATATTTTAATTTATTATAACATCACGAAAGTGGGTTGGCATGGTACCCACCCCACTCACCTGCCCAGGCTGGGTTTTTTAATTTAAAAGACCTGAATGGGTTTAAAATATATTTTCCCTTCAATATGGGCCAACTCACTTATTTCCATTTACATTTAAACTTGCTTTTTTTATGTGTTGATTAAATAGATAAAAACCTAACCCACCCCAACCTGGGTATGTCGAGTTTTAAGAAAAAAAAAAAAAGGGGGTGAACCAGAAATATATGCGTTCAATGCACATATTTCCAAGTCTCCACTGTTCTGGTCTTGGTGAACAGCTAGGATTGTTGATCGACAATATAAACAAGTCTACATAAAGACAGCAATACTTTTAACTTCCAAATGCAATACACATTGTTTAAAACTGTAAAACTTATTTATTTTTGTATTTATCACATTAAATTACTGAAATGCAAGTGACTTATTATATACTAATATAAATATGTACAATTTTGTTTTGTTTTTTTGTATATAATACAGTATGTACAAATTGAATGTTTGGTGATTCTTGTACATTATTAAGTTACTGATGTGCTACCAGGAAAATTCACAATGCACTGTTTCAATGTGACAGACAATGTGTTATGTGGACATAATAATTTCTGAACAAGCCATTTCAGTGGCTCTCCATGTCAACATCCCCGGATGACCCAGGTGCAAGGACCCTCTGTGACCTTTGACCCACTATGTTATCCTTTCAAACCATTGTGGCAATGTATTTGGAGAGGATAGACGGGAGAGAGAACTCTAAATACTCCCAAAGTAGCCACTTGCTGTTAAACAAATGAGAAGAAACATACATTATTTGTTCCCTCCAAATGATAATTAAAAGGCACATGGACAGCCAATTATCACTATGCAAACTACCTCTACTGAGTTACATCCTGACCACTACCACATGGCAGTAATAGCTACACAATACTTCTGGAACTGCCGGGTAATATCACATTTTGCCTGTTGGTACACAAGTCCAGTTTCCAGTCGAGTTTTCTGGCCCTCCTTTCAGACTTAGTCTCTACGAGAGGTGTTTATTGATTGCTTTGTTCGCCCCATGTCATGGCATGGTTACCACTATTGTCTGGCTATTCCTTTCTTACAAGACAGCTTTGTTTCTGGGCTCCCATCAATAGCAGCACTGGTTACTCCAGTACCAAGAGCCCTAGAGGTCTCTTTGTCTATGACAACTGGTGCAAGTGGACATGGTCAATCCTAAGGCAGCAGCACCTTATGGAACTCAAGTCTCAGGCCTAGACCTTGGAAAAGTACTGTGAACACCATTACAAGGCCTGTGTGATGTGTGGATTTTCTCAGTGAGAGTCCTTGATTACCTTTTCTGGGAGGGGCTCCTAAGGTTGCTCCTAAGGTTGCTTTTAAGGTTGCTCCTAAGGTTGCTTTTAAGGTTGCTCCTAAGGTTGCTTTTAAGGTTGCTCCTAAGGTTGCTCCTAAGGTTGCTTTTAAGGTTGCTTTTAAGGTTGCTCCCTTATGCTAGCTCTCTGGATAGCTTCACCCAAATCAATCGATGCCAGGCTCATGAGAGTGACTAAGCGTATCAGGGACCAGAGGGTAAAACCTGGCCACCTCCGTAGAACTATGAAGGGCAAAGAATATTAGATCCCTAACAGCAACATAACTCTACCAGAAAGGTGAACAAGACGATACAAAGAGCAAGGTAATGTAAACAAATCATAACAAAAAACAAGACACCGAGATGAACTGCCCGGTGAAACAAACAGGTGTTTGTTGACCACGACACGAGTAAGGATGAAAAACAGAAAGCCAAGAGGAAAATTGAAGGAAAATGGAAAGAGGGACAGGAAGAATGATAGAAAGATTGGGGGAACAAGAAGCGAGATCAGGGCAGGAGGATAATCGAGCACATCATAAAAGTGGGCCTAATCACACTGGCGAGGAAGAGAGACCAGGGAAATGCGAGAGCGAGAACGACACTTACAAATACCACCTTCTGGAATGGGACTAACCCAAACTGAGAATATTCCAAAAACCTGGAAAAAGGCAAATGTAGTTCCAATATTCAAGAACAGATATGAAGTACTAAACTATAGATTAGTATCATTAACATGCACTATGTGCAAGATTCTATACAAAGCATTAAGGAAAAAAAAAAAGGATTGAAGAACATTTGGGGAGAGGAAATTTAATAAGAGGGGGCACAACAAAGCTTCAGAGGGGTAATCGTATGGAATAGACTTCACTGAATTCTATGACAAGGTCACTAAAATAAGACAAGAAAAAAAGGATTGGAAGACTGCATCTTTCTAGACTGCCAAAAAACTTTTGATAACAGTTCCTCACAAATGAAGACAGCATGCCTTCTTCACGTCAAACGTCATGCATATCAAACTCCAGCAGTGCTTCCTGTACTACCAGTACTCTTACATCACCCGGAAGTGCCCATACCAAGCAAGCAGCTAAATGCAGCCTCTGCACCCAGGACCACAGTTACAAGCAATATACTGCTGACTTCCAACGATGTCTCATCTGTGATGGCAACCACTCTGCAATTTCACATCTCTGCCCTCGAAGTCAAGAAATTGTCTGCACCCCTGACCAGTCTCCACATCCACCACCACGACCGGCCCCTGCACCTCCACAGCTTTTTCCACCAGCCAATAAGATGCCTTCCCAGCCCTGACGAGAGGAAGCGCAGCGTCTCTGACCACTATGCCATCCCATTCGGGGAGCACCACCCAATCAGGGGACTCTGCCGCTGTCACCTCTGAAATCCACCTCACTGGATGCAAGTGCCGGCGTGAATCCAGAGTTACATCTTGAGGACCGAATTGCTGGGACTGATCATTGATCGTTTGTTTCACAATCAACACTTTCTAAGCTGCAAATGGTCTGGCAATGTGTTCACTGCTACTTCGAAGAAGACTCCAGCTTCCACCATCAACATTCCAAGAGTGTCACCTGCAGCCGTGCCAGCCACACCTATAGAAGGCTCGCCAATCACAAAGACTCCAGCCTCAACAGTCACCGTTCCAGCTGAGGCACTGGCTACGGAGGCCCACTCTACTTCGGCTCCAGTTCCTCTCACTCGGGAGACTTCCTACTCTTCTAACAACTCTGACATTACTCTTGTCAGCACCGACTCGCCTGCCAAACCAAAGATACACCGACACCAAGCCTGCCCACGAAGTCGAAGACGCAGGCAAAAAGCTCCCTTTTCTTGATTTGACTGGAGGAAATACAACTCGACTTTGCATTAACACCAGAAACCAGGAGATGCCAAACCTTCAATAAAATCAACCATCACTGAATAGAGAGGAATCTCCTTCCTTCTTATATCCCAGCCGAGTCAGTCCTCAGATACTACAACCTCAAGACGTTTATGGAGTGATCCATATATCCAGATTACTACTGTCTGTACAACCACAAAGACACTTAGAAGCATCACTACAAGACGTCAACTAAAGATAACAATATCCACCTCGAAGGTACGAAGATAACATAAGAAACTTCACCAAGTTATCACCTATAAGACCAAGCCGTCACTACTTGCCCGAAGCTAGTTAGTCTTCAGGCCATTATGACCACCAAGCAGCCTCTTCAGAGATGAAGAAATGAAGATTACAGTATCAATGACTCACAAATCCAAAGTGGAACGGCCACTGAACTTTCCTTCCATCATCATGTCGCCCTCATCCTATTTCCAGAGATTTCAACCTTATCCTCATGCATCTTTCCCCATCCCCCTCCAGCTTGCCAAATCCTTTGGTCGTCAAAAGTGCAAAAAAAAGTAGACATAATCCCAACACTAACACCAATGAGCACGTGTGAATAGGATATCATCATCAGCTGATGGGAAAATAGCAAACATAAGATCATCTATGAATCTGAACAAGAAGGCTTTCAATTTGAAGTCCATGTACACTGCCTATGCGACACCATTAATGTACTCTAGTATGCAGCACCTGCATGGAACCCGTACATTGTGAAGTACAATATGTAGTACAGAGGTTTGCAGCTAGATTAGCACTATAAATAAAAGGGCTCAATAATGAGGGCAAGTTAAGGGAACTCACCTTCACAACCTTAACAGAAGAAACATGGGTGATAGGAATCACTACATATAAAATTCTGAGTGGAATAGGGAAAGTGGACAAAGGAAGCCTATTTAAATTAATAGGAAGTATAACACAAGAACATTAGTTGAAGCTGATGACAAAGAATTTCTCATACTTTGTATGAGTGGTCAACAAGTGGAATGCACTGAAGAGGTTGTTTAAGCTAATTCCATCCACAACTAAAAAAAAATTTTATGAAAACAATGTTGAGAGGGGTAATAAGCATGTCGAGTATAAACGGCTAGGAGACATGGCATAAAGACCTAGATTTCACTCCCCTGTAGTCACTGATAGGAACGCCGATGTTGAGCTAGTGACACCAGGCAGGAGTGAGAGGGGGATAGACTAGCTGACACTCCAGCTGACCTGGCATTTCCATCAGACTGTGATTGGACACACCACGTTTAAGATATTTGCCTTGCAGCATCAATCATTGGCTCTGTTTTACCTAGGAGTGCCCAACATCCTTCATGCAGTCACTTTGTTGTTGTGCCAATGCTCTTGTGTGGGTTTCCTCGGTTTTGGGTCCATCTAAAACTCAAGCTGCTCTTTACCTCATAAGATAGCCAAATTCTGGTCCTGGCTGCCAGCCAGTGATAGACGAGTCACAGAAGCCTGGTGTGATTAGCCAAGGCTTGGTGGTACCAGAGGTAAGTTCAGAAGGCTACCGAGGGGTACCTCGCAGTAAACATACATAGATTAGGGGTATCTAAGCTATGGGGTACAGACTCCCTGACATTCACATACTGTATTATCAGAACAGGAATATGCTAAAAGGTGCCATAATACTGTTAACAAAATAAATACACTAATAAAATTTAAGAAAATATAACAAACTCACCTTACTCTGCTAAACCCCACATTTGTACATACATTAGCACACACACAAACATTTATATATACAGTATATATATAATTACAGTACATGTAGTGGGAGAACTTTATTTTACAATCCATGAGTTGCATATGACATCCCATACCAGCAGCACTATAGACCAGCTGGACCTGGGGAAAGCATTCCTCATAAACCTTGAAGAGCAGTTATTATCATGTATTGTTTCCTCAGCTTGAATCTGTGTCCTCTTGTTCATGAAGTTGCTGGCTTCAGGAATTCCTCTTTGTCAATTTGATCAAGTCTTGTTATTTTGTAAGTGGTGATTATATCACCTCTTTCTACTATTTTCTAATTTTGGCATGTTTAACACCCCTAGCCTCACTTCGTAACTCTTGTTTTTCAGTTTTGGAAGCCATTTAGTAGAATGCCTTTGCACCTTTTCTAGTTTATAGATGTGTTTTTCGAGATATAGGCACCATACGACTGCTGAATATTTCAATTTTGATCTCACAAAAGTCACGAATGGTTTCTTTAGAATTCTTCCACGACTATTCCTCTGGTGACAGTCTACTATCCAAAACCACCCTTAGATCTCTTTCTTTGTTAGAGTTCTTTAATTCCTTTCCACATAATCTAAGTTGTGTGTGATCTATTTTCACCTATTCCATAACATGGCATTTATTCACATTGAATTCCATTTGCCATATGTGCTCCAAGAACTTTTATCTAGGCCAATTTGAAGGCATTACAATCATCTATGTCTCCTATCTTCCCTAGTAGCTTAGTATCATTAGCAAACATGTTCATATAGTTCAGTATTCCTTCTGATATTGTTTATTAGACAAACATTACTGGTGCAAGAACTGAACCCTGTGGTACTCTGCTAGTAACACTCCTGTCAGATACACTGCCTCTTTTTACCGACCTCATCTTTCTGTCAGAAAATTTGTCACCAGTCTCCCTGTCACCCCTCCAGCATGTTCCAGTTTCCAAAACAACCTCTCATATGGGACTATCAAAAACATTTTTAGGTCCAGATAGACACAGTCAATCCAACCATCTCTTTCCTGTAGAATCTCTGGCTATCATAAAAACTAAGAAGATTTATTACACAGGACCTTCCTGTTCAAAAATATAGTCTTATTATGTCATTACTCTCCAGGTGTTCTATCCACTTGGTTTAACTTTTTTCTAGTATTTACTCTCTCCCTCACTGCCTCTATCACTATGAAGGGACAAGAAGAGAAGGATGGGCAGAAAAAAAGAGAGGAATGTATGCCATGGGTGTCTGGAGTGGATGTGGGTGTTGTCATGTGGGTATCGACATGCGAGTGCCTGCATTTTGACGTTAGTGTGTGGGCATAGCCATGTAGGGAGTGTGGGAGAGTCGTGTTGTTGGAAAAGTGGCAGGTCTTACAGGTCCTTGGTGAACCAAGAGATGAACAGGACTGGCACACGTTAACCCTAGCCTGGGACGGGTCGGGGGCGCATTGGTCATGAGTAGGAGACAGAGTTAGAGGAGGTGCAGGTGTTGCTTAATCAAATATTTTCTAATTTTACCCTGGAGGGCTAGTTACTAATTGTAAATAATGGAACATATACAGTGGAACCTCAGTGTCGAATCTAATCTGTTCCAAAAAATGTATCTTAACCCGAATATTTGTACACCGAATCAAATTTTCCCATGAAAAGTAATGTAAATTGAATTGATCCATTCCACACCCCCAAAAATATTAAGTTTAAAATACATTTTATACAGAATATTACCCATACATTTCCCTACACAAACCAATCAGGAATAAATATAAACAAATAAAATAAATGCACATTTAACTTCACTTTACCTTTACTGAGGACTCTTGTTGGCGTATTAAAGACGGTGAGGAGGGAGGGGAGGTGATGTGGTGGTAGTTTTTGGAAGGGGAGTCCCCTTTCATTATAACATCAACTCATCTCCTGCTCGCCTCAAAAGTTTTCATATCTGCATCACTCATTCCAGTTTTTCCCTTTATACATTTCACTGACCATACACCACCCGGTCCCTCCATAGCCTGTCCAGCCTGACAGCCTGTCCAGCCTGACAGTTTGTTTAGACTACTGTACTCTTTACTCGAAAGTTATTTTAACATTAATATTTAATGCTGCCCCACTTACCACCCACAAATTCAGAGCATAATTAAGTCCAAAATGCTTGGGATGTGCAGTGATATATACTCAACTCAAAAAGGCTTTAAAATGCAATGCTGATAAAAGCCCAGCATACTCCCGAGAATGTGGTTCAAATTACTGCACAGTGTTGGCCCTAGTCCACATTGATCTGTTCTCAACTCACATTACTCCAACATCCCTCAATTGTGTTTATAAATTTGGCATACCGGTGCTTAACGACATTAACTCCTAAATGAATCTTGTAATATTGCAGATTGGAACATTCTAATTCTAATTCATATTCTAATTCTTATTAGAACATATTCTATTCTAAGCCGATATACGATGGCATTCTCAAGATATCACAAGGATAATACATATTAAAAAAAAACTTTTAGAGAAGCATATGGTATCTCTACTAGGAATCCTTAATAACAAACCCGAGAACATTTGCTACGTTGCAACTTTACTCCCCGATAATGCTGCCTTCTAACAAAATACTTGGAACCAAAACTAATAATTTCCACTAGTTATTATGCATAATCGAAGATCATGTGCTTTAGTGATTACAGTACATGTGTATAAAATTACTTTTCTCCTTACTTACATGCCTTGTCATCAACAGAATTTTTCAACCTCTTAATCTCGCTACGTGCTGTAGCCAGTTTCTTCTCAAGAATTTCAATGAGATTGGTATCAACCTTCTCCTTCAGGGATGAGATCTGATGCTTCTGCTGCTCAATGGTGAAGGATAGATTGTGTTCGTGATTCTCGGCATTCTCCCTTTTTTGCTTCTCATCCACCAGTTGTTTCTCCATTTTGCGCAATTTCTCTCTATTGATAACAGGATAAGAACAGTCTGAATGATACACTTGTTGAGACACTAGGTAAATTTAAAGGTCAGATATCTTCCAAAACCTTGTAGAATAGCAACCCTGTATACCACAGACAATAGCAAAGTCACCACCTTGCCAGCCCTCGAGACAAATCATATAATTTCACCAAGAAGGATGTCCAATGCTCCACCACCCCTGTGGTGTGGTCCACAACTGTCCCTTCCAGTTGTCAACCCAGTCAACGAGGATGGAAGTCAACAGCACTACCGAGTTAATCCTAAGATTTTGTATACTGTAGTTACACCTTCCATAATACTCAACTTTACATTTAATTAAATATTAAATGCAAATGTCCTTATTAAAATCCCAAGTGCTAATAATAAAAGACCACTTTGTTTCCTAGATTCACTCTGGAAACAAGGCATAATTACAACTCTGTTCTACACTGCTAAATGGCACCCTTAACTCTAAGTTATGTCACCATATGTCCACAATATATATTCTGAACTGTAGTGATTTCCTCAAGGAGTTTTTAACCACTTTAGTTTTCAGGATGTGGTATCTTGAAATCAAATTACTGTACTCTTATATGCCGTCCTAATCCAAACATAATTGTGAAAACCCAGCATCAAATGTAATGAAATGCAACTTTCTGGACGAGCTCTGGTGGTTTCCTGAAGCCGAGATAGTAGCTCCCAACTACTAGGTCACATCAGTCGCAGAGTTTTGTTTAATCCACTGGGGACTAAAACCTGAGCCAGAATCTGGTCCCCTCAGAGAAGCAGAGAGCAAGTGACACTATGCCACCCCACTGGGAAAGCATTCAGAAAGCCAGGGAACCAATACAGACCACTGCTGAATTCCAAGAGACCAAAACCTCAAAACTGCCAAACAAACTCCCCAACAATGTAAGCAAATGATCGAATATCTATGTACCCACTGGGATACGAAGCCAGTTCTGGAGCAGATGTGCATATAAAACCACCCCAACCGACAACCTGTAAGGGCAGGGAGAATCAGGGAGCCACCCAAAAACAATTCGTTACTCAATGGTGTGTTTCTGGAGGAAACCCCTTGTGGCCCCTTGAAGGGGGAGGTTATCTTGAGGTGATTTCGGGGCTTTAGTGTCCCCGCGGCCCGGTCCTCGACCAGGCCTCCACCCCCAGGAAGCCGCCTGTGACAGCTGACTAACACCCAGGTACCTATTTTACTGCTAGGTAACAGGGGCATAGGGTGAAAGACACTCTGCCCATTGTTTCTCGCCGGCGCCTGGGATCAAACCCGGGATCACAGGATCACAAATCCAGTGTGCTGTCCGCTCAGCCAACCGGCTCTGACACCATAAACTGAGAAGAACTGAGAAGGGTAGAACACCCTTAGTCCTGCGTGGCCTAAACCTGCTTAGTCCAAGGACTAAGCAGGTTTAGGCCATGCATAAACAGGCCAAAGGTGAAACAATTGCTTCCAAAACAGCACTAAGGAAGTATTTATGCTGAATGCAAGCAGCACCAGCTCCACCAGCACCAAATGATAAGAGGCATCGGTAATCAGCACAAGATGCCAGTCAAAAAAAGACCAAAAAAAGAACCGTGAACCCTGAATAGATAGGGACATACCAATAATCATCCTGGAGGTCCTGGAAAATCATCCAGAACCCTGCCTCCAATAAATGGAAATAAAGTGGAAGCTGCCTGATAAGCTTGTAATTAGTCAGATGGGTCTGATAGAAGAGCACATGAGGAGAGTAAACCCCACAAGGGTCAGAGTCATAGGAGTCACAGACCCAATAATCATTTCTTGGCATGGACAATGAATAGCCCTCAAATTCATGCAAGACCTGGTTCGAAGGGGATATCCATAGGCCACAATGTACCTGTATGAGATTCTGAGGCCCTGAAGGACAAACCAAGCACAGTATCCTGGCACTGGGGACACTTACCCAGTATAAAATAGTAGTCGACACAGCCTGGGCTACGCAGCAGCGAAGGATGACCTTGGCATGCTGTGTGGGCACATGCACAAACCATCAGTGCACCGCATCCTGTCAATGCTTGCTGCCAATCCAGGGCATAGACAGAGGGGGCAATAAGACCCCTTGACTCACCCAAGACAAGGCCCTACCCTACTGAAGAGACCAGTAAAAGAGCGGGCTCCTGAACACAACAGAAAACAGTCAATGCAGGGGCAGTATTAGAAAGAACACAGAATGGAACCCTGTGCACATGCAGCCCCAAGCACACAATAAGTCACATCCATGTAACACAAAACCAGATAAAAACATGCTCGAGAAGCAAAACTAAAATTAAAACAATATGAAGCAAATAGTCCCCTGCAGGTCTAAGTCTAAGGATGGTTAGCACTTAACCGAAGAAGCAGTAGGACCCGCCACGGCTTGCTGATGACCCAGGAACCCTACAGCGATGTCCACTACTATTCGCATCGGCAACAGAACTGACCTCGTAGTTCAGTGGGCACTGGTGGCTCTAGCCCCCTTTCCCCCATGCAGTAAGGGGGTAGTCCTACCGAGCATGCACTTCTTTAGAGAAATTTAATCGTTTGTTTACATTGTTGGGGGGTTCATTTGGCAGTCGAGAGACTTCGGTCTTTTGGAACCCAACACTGATCTGTATTGATTCACCGACTTTCTATAGCTTTCCAAGTGTGGTAGCAAAGTGTCACTTGCTCTCTGCGCCTCTGAGGGGAGGAGGCCAGATTCTGGCAATGGTTCTCGGTAGGCCAAACAGAACTCCAGGGATGATGTGACCTAGTAGTTGGGAGCCGTCGAAGCTTCAGGAAGCCACTGGGGCTCCCCCAAGAAAAGTAGTGTTCAAGATAAGAAAAACTATATTACAGGACATATCTATGGTAAAATCCTGCATTTTAATAACTTGACTCTTGGTAAAGTTTATATGAAAAGTCCTTCAGGAAAAAATTGCAAACCATTAGCAATAATTTGCTAATGACCTTGGGACCAATTAGACTAACTAAAATCTATATTATGGCAATGATCTTGTTCAATGCTCTTCAGGCTCAATCTTATTACTAAATAAAACAAATATAATGACAAACACCATGTGTGTGTTGTTGCCTGTCATCCACTGCAAGTAAAAGGAGAGCAGTGGGATTGGAATTAGTCGACATAAACAGCCCTTTCAATTACTTAAAGAGCAATAGTGTTTGTAAAGTGACCAAGAGTCACTAGTTCTTTTGAGTAACAATGTAACAGAATGCAATAGCAACATAGGAGGTATTTGACATAGTGAAGAATACACAGGTGCGTTACAGCAGCACACGACTTCTGACCCCTGGAAGCAGGCAGAGAGCTTTCCTCTTCCCACAGTAAGCCTTGCCCACCTAATTTTCTCTGGAACACGACCCACCAATCAATTACAAACCCAGTACCCAATTATAGCTGGGTGAGCAGAAGCTAACAGATACAGATTGGTGCCAAGTCAATATTCCCAGGTCAGGATTTGAACCCAGACCAAATCACTTGTGAGGTACATGTGACAAGTGTATCACCACTACGCCACCATCAGCAACAGTGGCCACTTGAAGATCTGTGATTAATGTGTGAGAACACTAGAAGCAGAAAAAGAGTACAGTGCAAGGATCACCGAGACAGGGTTGGAGGGTGCAGAAACTTTTTATCCCAATGTGTTGAGTATGAGCTGCCCCTGTAAGCCTACTGCAGTGTTCTTATACTATGGTCTGCTATATATTTGCTCTAGTAGCAGTTTAGTGTACTTTATTATGAACCCTATACCCTCTCCTGTGAGCAGTAGTAGAAAAGGTTATAGAGGCATAATATTTGTTTAGCTAGGCAATTTACAGCACTGGTAACCTAGTTACATAACATAACATAAATCAACAGTATCGTTATAGTTTATCAAACTAACATGACTGTGAACTTAGGAGACCCGTAGCGGACACAGTAACTGGTAGATAGCTTACCTAAGTGGCTCCACTTCAAGTAGCAAGTTAGCCATCGAATCTCGAAGGTAGGAAGTCTCCCGACTCCGCTGATCATATGCCAGCTGTAGTTCCACATTATGCTGCCTTTCTCTTTCATAGTCAGCAACAATATGTAGAAATTTGCTGGTAACAAAAAATCATCGTTAACTAGAACTCTCTCTCTCGTCACGTAACCTTATTATTTGAAATCAAACAAGAAACTTCATTTCTAGAGTCTTGAGTCCAGTCACTCAACTAGTGGGTGGACTAAACAGGTGTACAGCTGTCAAAAATCATACATTTTTTGGGCATAAATTGAATAACATCAAGCTTACAATTTACAAGAGGATATATATATATATATATATATATATTGGTGAAATAATGTGTGGTTAACATTAGAGCAATGAGTCATATATAGGCAAAACATGTACAGTATGGTATATATATATAAAAAAAAAAAAAAAGTTGAATAATGAAACGCCACTTTCTGGATGAACCCCAGAGGTTCTCTGAAGCTATCACACAGTACCATACTACTAGGCGTCATCAGTTGTAGAGTTCTATTGGCCTACTGGGGACCATGAGCCAGAACCTGGGCCCCCCCCCCCCCACCCTCAGAAGTACACGCAGCGATGGCCTATAAACTGTTAGACCTCCAAATTACATTTAAAGTTTATCATCCTCGCCACCATTTTTTCAAGGTCGGATATAGGAGCATCAAAACTGACTACTGCATGATTAAAATGAAACCCCAGCTTCAAAACTGCAGGAGGAGGAAGCCGGCCTGGGTCATCCGGGCCGCTCACAGTCCAGTTTTATAATGATAAAATCGGCTGATGATCTGGGGGAAGGGAGGGCATCAGGGAGCCTTCGGGGCTCACCCAGTAACTGTAGTTTCATTACAATCAACACTGATTTTCTATGGGGAACCCCATCAGCTCCCTGAAGCTAACTACCTACAGAGAAGAACAAAAAGGGTCATTCACCAGGGAGATAGCAGCACCATAGGTATCGAGGCAAAGAAGTGACCGATCTCTGCAACACACGAACCAATGCAACACATGGCCGCAGAGGACCAGTGATATTAACAAGATACCTGGCAGCCAAAACAGACCTCCAAAACCTGCACGCCCGAATTTTGGGCCAAAACATTACCAAAACATTACACGGCCGACAGAGCAGCATACTTACAGACATCATGAGCACAAGGGTAGACTGCAGGCTGGCTAGCTTTAATAACACTGCGGACAACCTGAGAAATACAAGCCCTGAAAGAGGAAACTGGATCAACCCACAACGAGTTCACCGAAACAGATCCGGTGGCCGAAGTTAGCGATGTTAAGTTGCTACTGGACAAAGCACATGTTGCACCCGCAGCCAAACCAACTGAGAATCCACAACTAAAGGACCCCTCCTGAAGCCTGCCGACACATTCTTAGCCAGAAAAAAAAAAATGAGTCGGCTGCAACCTAACAAAATGACCACCATAAGAACAAAACACCCAGGCACCAGAGGACAGCATGAAGCTCACCCACCTGACAACCTGAGGCCAAGGCAAGCAAAAATACTGCCTTCCAAATAACAATCCTGGACCGATGGGGCCACCGTAAAACGAGCTGGAGAGAAAATAAAGAACCTGGGCCAAAGACCAGGTAGGCTCAGGTGGCACAAACAGGCTGGAGGTGAAAAAGCACAAGAAAGGTTACAAATCGAGGCGGAAGAAATGTCAACTCTGAACACAAGCTAAAGCAGCTCCACCAACGGCACATGATAAGAAGCGACACTACAGTATTTAGCACAAGACGCTGATCGAGGAACAGGCAGGAAAGAAAGGACAAAACCCGGTTCGAGATGGAAGAACAATGACAAAGGAAAGAAAATTGTCAAAAGACCAAGAAACTTCATACTGTCGCCAAGAAGACCGTAGGCGGGACACCATCAAACCACCCACCTGATCATCATACAAATGGCAATAAACACGCATAAAAAAAGTGCAGATGCACAAAGCAAAAGAGAGGGTCAAACAAGTATGGTACATCACCCGCCCAACCTTTTGAAAGAGGCGGAGCTGCGGAAAGACGCCCTACAAAGCAGGGCCTGAAATCAAAGCTGGGCTGGCCACCAAGGAGCCAGAAGAATCACTCTTCCCTTGCAAGACTCGAGCCCCGCTAGCACCAAGTAACAGCCGGACCAGGGGAAACAGATAAATGACATTATAAAACTGAACTGTGAACAGCCCGGCTGACCCAGGCTGGCTCCCTCCTCCCCTGGCGTGGGGAAGGAGGTGGGGGCAAACTAGTCACAAAATTTTGTTTTCATTGTGTGGGAGTAATTGTTTTGGTAATTATGACACTGCAGTTTCATTTTAACCATGCAGTAATCTGTTTTGAGTTGTCAATCTTACTGGGTGACTTTCCTTGGATGGTGGCTAAGATGATAAACTTTACATTTGAAGTATTCATAGGCCATCGCTCCCTGTGTCTCTCTGAGGAGGCCAGATTCTGGCCTCCTCAGTAGGCCAACAGAACTCTGCGACTGATGACACCTAGTAGTATGGCAGTTAATCAGTGTGGTGGCTTCAGGGAGCCAACAGGGGCTTCCCACAGAAAAAACTAAAAATATACTAATCATACTACAAAGTTATACTTTAACTACATTTAATATTAGAACTTTCTGATGATCAGCCTAACCCACTTCCTACTTTCATAGTATAGAAAGACCAGACAATGAAAAAAGAGCAGCAATACAAGAAAAGCAGGTTTATATATTACAATTAACAAGTTACTTACCCATATTCCACACACTGCCTATCAGCGAACAAGCACCATCATTCCAACAAATCACCCATGCTAGCACCCAATCGCTTCACGAGATTAGGTGCACTAATTGATCTAAATTTCTTACACAGTATATAAACAAAAAAAATAATGTGCTTATTCCCATCAAAACTGCTGTCACCTGGCCTTATTCTTTTACCACATCCTATATGTTATACACATGCACTCCATCCTTACCTACACAAAACATCTACCCATTTTTTTGGGGCCTGATTTACTCCTTTTTATCCTTAAATTCACTTACTCACACACACTTCACCAGATATACATTTATTTAACCTTTAGACAGTGGGCACCGTCATATGTTGATTCCCAGGTTAATGCAGTTATCGTCATATGACAATCTAAATTATTGTCTGGATTTTACATGCATGATGTAAATAAGGATAAAATAGGTCTAATGTTGATGTACTAGGTGAATGCAATTATTGTCATATGACTATCATCTGTGGGTGCCAAATTGGTACACCTATGTTTCAATCTATACTCTCGCCCATATGGTGCCAATTAGGCCTTATGTCATTGTGCAGAGCTCAACACCATTGAATATTATGTTCATAATATTCACTACTCTTATACTGGTTGTAAAGGAGATTACCAGGTAAACCAATCATCAACTGAAACATGTGTTATGCGAGTTATGCGATTTATCAAGTTATTCAACACACACTCTTGTAAATAAAGAGAAACAAGTGATAAACAATCAGTGAAACCTGAGAAGATAACACAGGAAGTGTCAGCCAAGTCAAGCATGTGGCATTGACAGGTGCCAGACACAGCCACCATGCAACTTTTCAAAGCACCTTTCCCCAAATATTGACTTATTTTAATATTTTTCATATATTTTGCTTACAAATTATTTTTATATCGAATGATTTTTTTTTTTTTTGCACATAGAAGGATATGACCATTTTCCACAGCCACCGTCCAAGAGTTAATATGACCAACCCATCTAACTGCACACTTCATAATCTTGCAGTTTACCAATATTTTCGATCCACATCCTTCCTAGACATATTCATTCTTTACTGTATTTGCCCAACAATATTAAGCAAATTTTGACCAAAAATCAAACATTAAATGTAATGAAATGTCCTTTTCTTGCGAGCCACAACAAGCATGAAACCATTATATTCAAGGCGTGTTTTTGCAAAGGGTTGCCAACAGACCTAGCATTGAACACTCTTGTGTTTCTCTTCCAAGCATCCCTAGATGCCTCAGCATCTCATCTCAACTTGTCTGCTCAAGTCATAATGTCCCTAAAATACCTCTTCCCAATTTAATTCTGTCATACTCACCTTAACATCATTCTTCTTAATCACATGTACAGCCAAATCTTGACCCTGGGCAAGTACCCTTCCACAATGTATTATTTTTTGTACTCTATCTACACAATTTTAATGGATTGCCAGATATTTTATAAAATAAATATTTTCCAAACAATAGTTTAGCCCTGTTAGCAATTCCCCTTGTATACAATTCGATTTATCAAGATGATACTTACTCTGTATTTTCAAGTTTTTGCTGATAGAACTTGTTCCAATCCCGGCTCGCACTGAGCTTCTGCAAGCCAATGAAAATTCATTATTATACAATACAGTACACACACACAAAGTAGTTTACACACACGTAAATAAATCACCTTTCAAGTTTTGTTAAAATCTGTAGAGATGTTTCTGTGCAGTTTCCAATTCCTCAACATACGAGGGCTAAAAATTATTATTAAATATAATGTTTTCATTAACAAATATTAAGCTATAACAATTAAAAAAAAAAAAAAAAAAAAAAAAACAGCAGCATTGAATGTAATGAAATACCTGTACCCCTTTCTGGATGAACCTCATTGGCTCCCTGAAGTAGTCTCACTTAGATGACTCCCAAACTACTAAGTTTCATTAGCTGCAGAGTTCTGTTTAACCCAATGGGGATCAAAGCCAGTTCCTGGTCCCCTCACAGAGTAACAGAGCAGGTGACATTCTATTGCCTCAACAGGAAAGCATCCAGAAAGTCAGCAAACCAATACAGACCCTTGGTAGATTCAAATAGACCAAAGTCTTGAACCTAACAAATGAACTCTCCCAATGTAAACAATCGATCAACTCTCTCAAAACTAACACAAGCTCCTTAGGACTACCGCTCCCCTGCCCAACCAATTGGGATGGGGGGGGGGGGGGGAAGCCTAAAGCTTTAGGTCTCCACCCAGCCATTCAAGCCAGTTCTGGAGCAGATGTGAAGAGACACCCACCAACAATCCTGGAAGGAAGGGAGGGGGAGGGAATCGGGGAGCTACTGGGGCTAAAAAACATTGAACACTGGTTTTCTGGAGGAGCCTCTTGTGGCTCCTTGAAGCTAACTACCCACAGAAAAAGAAAAAGAGGACTCACCAGGGAGGAGGAAATATGATAGGCATTCAAGACAAATAAAAGTTGACTAGTCAAGAGATAATCCAAGGCATTACAGGCATCATGGGGCTGGGGACATTAACTAAATACTGGTCAGCCAAGAACCTGTTAGGGGGTGCCCAAAGTTGGCATGACAACATCAAACAACAGTAAAGGAACCAAACCCCAAAAAGCCCAAGGAGGAACCCGGCAAGGTAGCAGTCGACAAAAGACTATCAGGGGCCCAAACCCAAGGGTTACAGCAATGGCGTATGGGATAGATCCAGAGAAACCAGAACAGCCCCTGAAGCCACAAATTGCTTAGCAGGAAAACCACACACGCAAAGTTCAGCCTCTGTATAGGCCCAAAGAGTAGTATGCCGACACAGCCTAATCAATGTGGCTGTGAAAGGCTGATCATCTTGTGGTATGTAACCCAAGCGCACGAACCTACAGTGCACCCCAACCAGCCAAAACATTCAACAAAGGGGCAAAAGATCCCTGGCACACCCAAGGTAAAGCCCCTACCCAGGGGGTCTGGCCTCTAAATTTTCCAAAGAGTGAACCCCTAAACACACCAGAGAAGGAAACTGTCAGTGCAGGGGCAGCACTAGGGAGAACACAGAAGGTTGCCCTGAGCACATGCAGCTCCAAGTGCTCTATGAACCAAGTACACACAACACAAGCCGCACATAAAACATGCACATGATTTTAACTAAAATATATAAAGTAAATGGTCCCTAGCAGGATGGCTGGATCTAAGGATGGCTGGCACTTAGTTTAAACGCAGCAGGACCCACCTAGCCTGTAGAGGACCCTGGAGCCCTACAATAGACTACAAATTGTGTTCACTTCTGTGACAGAACCGGCATGGGAGGCCAGGGAAGATCTACAGCTCTAGGGCACCCCCCAACCGGCAGAAGGATGGGTTAGTGCTAAAGAGCTCACTCTAGTTTCAAGATATTCAATCATTTGTTTACATTGTTTGGGGAAAATTCATTTGCCAGTTTCGAGTCTTCAGCTTCTTTGAACCCAGCAGTAGCCTGTATTGATTTGCAGACTTACTGGATGCATTTCCGGAGGGGTGGCGGAATGTCAGCAGCTCTGTGCCTTAATGATGGGAGGCACAGTTTTGGTTCTGGTCCCCGGTAGACCAAACGGAACTCCGTGGCTGATGTGACCTAGTAATTGGGAGCCATCTCGGCGAGATGGCTTTAAGGAGCTATAAGGGGCTCCCCCAAAAAAACAGATACCATAATCAAATATTTTATACAGATCAACAGCACACAGTCTAACCTTATTGAGTATTTTACAGTTGTTGCAATCTTGATTATCAGAGGCAATTCCTTCCCTTTGAATATCTTCAGGGTTCTTTTCTCCACCAAAATTCTCAAAGGCAGACATCGTTAGCCACTTAATCCTTTACTGAAAGAAAACAATATTCAATTTAACTTAGATAAGTCATAATTACTACAGAAATAAAAGTAATACACGACTCGAGTAACACACAAGATAATAGCTTAGTTACACAAGACGACAATAGACAGAGAAAAGCTTAAAACATAACAACACTGCAGTAAGCCTAGGTTTCTGACCCATGTAAATCCTTCTGAGACCAAACCATTTTCATTCACATATCTGCCTAGGGTCTGGCTTTTGGGAAATGCAATGGTTCACCTTGCAGCTACCTTGCGATGATTTCGGGGCACAACATCCCCGCAGTCCAATTTCCAATCAGGCCTCCTGGTTGCTGGACTGGTCAACCAGGCTGTTGGACACAACTGCTAACAGCTTGACGTATGAATCATAGCCCGGTTGATCAGGTATCCTTTGGAGGTGTTTATCAAGTTCTCTCTTTAACACTGTGAGGGGGTCGACCAGTTATGCCCCTTATGTGTAATGGAAGCATGTTGAACAGTCTCGGGCCTCTGATGTTGATAAGAGAAAAATATTTAAGTAAACTTAGGAAAGTCATAATTACAATAGGTACTCTCAGAGTACCTATTACACCTTTGCTTTTCAACGGGGGTATTCTGCACATCCTGCCATGCCTCCTGGTCTCATGTGATGAGACCAAGCCAAGATGAGATGATCAAGCATTTTATTCACTTTTTATTTGCAGTAAGGTACAGTAGTTTTTCCACCAGCTAGTGACTACCAACCTTGAGGCTTCAAGTTCTTTCCCAACACAGGAATGATGGAGACCATACAGCCCTGTGCTGTGGCTGCCCCTAATCCATTAACAACACCTGTTCAATCAAGTTAAACACTACCATGTAGCTGGGTGGGTAAGCACAAAAATAATGGGGATTAAACACACGTATTTTCCTGGGACCTACTGACCAGGAAGTGGCAAGGGGGAAAAAGAAAATTTGATCATTAAAAAATTACCATTTGAAAATACACAATGCCTGCCCTTGACAGCGTCAAAAGGCAGGCATTTTCCTAGTCGCCTCAACAAGTCAGTATTGATCGCGCAACACTTCTATAATAATCTACCCGACTGCTGAATACACCAAGTACCCCAGTGATTGGTTGCTCATTTATTAGATACCACTGAACATCAAGATCTGATATTCCTTGACATGGTAGAAGAGAGTCAGTACTCTTGGGTGGTATTTTCATAACATTTGATTAACAAACTTCCTACCCCCATGCATTTGAAACTGTTAAGGTCTGAGAATATGCAACATAGCAAGGCAAGGTTGGCATACATTGGTGACATCTTAAATTGATTTAGAGACATGTCACTTAGCAACCAATCAAAACTGATGAACAGTGGTGCTGTAATCTGGCTACTCTGGCTACATATACTGTACTGAACATATTACTTAATATCCATAACGCAAAGCACCGTTCTAGGCATCGACCAGAATACTCTCACAACTTAAGGACTATGCATTTGTGTGAAAATAAAATACAAATAAAATTAAAATGAATATAACCATTAAACTGATAAAAAAAAAAAATTCTTTTTTAAGAAGCATCTTGAGGTTATCTCGAGATGATTTCGGGGCTTTCGCGTTCCCGCGGCCCGGTCCTCGACCAGGCCTCCACCCTCAGGAAGCAGCCCGTGACAGCTGACTAACACCCAGGTACCTATTTACTGCTAGGTAACAGGGGCATCAGGGTGAAAGAAACTGTCCATCGTTTCTCGCCGGCGCCTGGGATCAAACCCAGGACCACAGGATCGCGCGGACAGTATTCCGTTCGCTCAGCCACCGGCTCCCTTTGCACAGAGCTAAAATACACAAATGATATATTTCTTTAATAAGTTTTACTTTAGATATCAATAACGCTTACCACGATACCAGTATTAATTTAAGAGTCTGGAAAATACTGGAGGAACAGGTCCTAAATCTGCACAGTAAAATAACAACGTACTGGAGTGAACGACATGGAAGAAAATGCAAGACTGAACCAGTAAAGAGCAGAGGTGCCATAGGCACAATCAGAGAACACTGTATGAACATCGGAGGTCCACGGTTGTTCAACGTCCTCCCAGCGAGCATCAGAAATATTACAGGAACAACCAGTTTCCTTCAAGGAGTGCCGGATCAACCAGGCTGTGGTGGGTATGTGGGCCTGCGGGCCGCTCCAAGCAACAGCCTAGTGGACCAAACTCTCACAAGTCAAGGCTGGCCTCGGGCCAGACTTGGGGAGTAGAAGACCTCCCAGAACCCCATCAACCAGGTATCAACCAGTCGTGTAGCACAGCGATCAGTACAATCAGTTCACGACCAAAAGCTCCTCGGTTAAGAGTCCTGTAGCAGGACAGAAACGTTTTAACATGCTTCCTTTTGCCCTGAAGATTCTGTTCACAACAATTAGGAAACTGTTGTGGGTTACATCCTGGAGGTCAGGCATTAGCCTGAGGGGGAAGGGTGTTCATAAGCTTTAAAGAGGCTTCCTCTTCCTTAAATAACAGAAGAAACCATATTCGAGGTCCCGGACAGGAGCCATTGCCATCGGCCTGCACTGGCGCCGGTTGCCAGATAATGGCGACTTTACCAAGCCAAAATAACTTACCGATATGGGTTGGGCAAGTGTTAGGAGAGGGTCAGCATCGCGAGGTCAGCATCGCGAGGTCAGCATCGCGAGGTCAGCATCGCGAGGTCAGCAGGGAGGAGGTGGTACCCAACACCTTCAAGAGTCAGCTTGTGTAGCGCTGACGACGGCTACCGCAGCACCCGACACTTAGCCTCCCCAGGAGACACTTAGTTCCCAGGTGACACTCGGCTCCCAGGCGACATCTAAATCCCAGGTGACACTCGGCTCTTACGTCGAGTTCGTATAGTTAGTGATAGAGGCGAGGGGGCAGCGTGACAAGTGTGTGTGTGTGTGTGGAGAGGGTGACACCCGGCTCCCAGGGTGACACTGGCCTCCCAAGGGTGACACTGGCCTCCCGGGTGACACTCAGATACTCCACTCAGCTCCCGAGGGCGCCTCAAACCCCCGCCGAGCCCTGTTCATCGTCAGGTGTTCACAGGGTTCAAGTCCCGTCGCCCACTGGCTCACCATCACGCCACAACACAAACACTGAGACTCCGCCGACGACTCCACACGCCGCATGCTGGCTCCGGCCAATGAGAAGGGAAGCTTGAGAAAAAGCAGCGTTGTGATTGGTGGAGCGGAGTTATTTCTGAAAACGTTTGGACGGAGGTGACTACTGCAGAGGGACCCTGATTATAAAATATATTATTATTATTATTATTATTATTATTATTATTATTATTATTATTATTATTGTTATTATTATTTGTTATTATTATTATTATTATTATTATTATTATTATTATTATTATTATTATTATTATTATTATTATTATTATTATTATTATTTTTTTTTTATTATTATTATTATTATTTTTATTATTGTTACTATTATTATTATTATTATTTATTATTATTATTTTTTATTGTTACTATTATTATAACTTTTAAAATCAATATTTTATATATAATATCAATGTAAATATATGAAGGTGAAAGAAAGACCCAATTTATGTTTAAGGGTATTAAAAAATAATTTTTTGGATATAAAATACATCCTTTCTCAGGCCTAACCACTTGGGCTAGATGCCAATTACTGAAAACGGCGATGGGTCATATTTTGCCCAAACCCCCCTGCAGTTTTCAAAATATCTGAAATGTCGGAAATTTGACTCCTGAGCATGATTTTTGAGCCAAATTCTGAATCTTTGCACCTATTTTCATTTTCAAATTACGAATTTTTACACCGAAAATATGCCAATTACTGAAAACGGCGGGGTCATATTTTGCCCAAACCCCCCTGCAGTTCTCAAAATATCTGAAATGTCGGAAATTTGACTCCTGAGCGTGATTTTTGAGCCGAATTCTGACTCTCTGCACCTATTTTCATTTTCATATTACGACTTTTTACGCCGAAAATATGCCAATTACTGAAAACGGCGATGGATCATATTTTGCCCAAACGCCCCCTACAGTTTTCAAAATATCTGAAATGTCCGAAATTTGACTCTGGAGCGTGATTTTTGAGCCGAATTCTGACTCTCTGCACCTATTTTCATTTTCAAATTACGACTTTTTATACAGAAAATATGCCAATTACTAAAAAAGGCGATGGGTCATATTTTGCCCAAACCCCCCTGCAGTTCTCAAAATATCTGAAATGTCGGAAATTTGACTCCTGAGCGTGATTTTTGAGCCGAATTCTGACTCTCTGCACCTATTTTCATATTCAAATTACGACTTTTTATGCCGAAAATATGCCAATTACTGAAAACGGCGATGGGTCATATTTTGCCCAAACCCCCCCTGCAGTTTTCAAAATATCTGAAATGTCCGAAATTTGACTCCTGAGCGTGATTTTTGAGCCAATTTCTGACTCTCTGCACCTATTTTCATTTTCAAATTGCTACTTTTTACACCGAAAATATGCCAATTACTGAAAACGGCGATGGGTCACATTTTGCCCAAACCCCCCTGCAGTTTTCAAAATATGTGAAATGTCGGAAATTTGACTCCTGACCGTGATTTTTTAGCCGAATTCTGACTCTCTGCACTTATATCAATTTTCAAATTACGAATTTTTATACCAATAATTTCCCAATTACTGAAAACAGCGATGGGTCATATTTTGCCCAAACCCCCCTGCAGTTTTCAAAATATCTGAAATGTCCGAAATTTGACTCCTAAGCGTGATTTTTTAGCAGAATTTTGACTCTCTGCACCTATTTCCATTTTTAAATTACAAATTTTATACCGAAAATATGCCAATTACTGAAAACCGTGATTGGTCATATTTTGCCCAAACCCCCCTGCAGTTTTCAAAATATCTGAAATGTCCGAAATTTGACTCCTAAGCGTGATTTTTTAGCCGAATTCTGACTCTCTGCACCTATTTTCAGTTTCAAATTACGACTTTTTATACCGAAAATATGCCAATTACTGAAAACGGCGATGGGTCATATTTTGCCCAAACCCCCCTGCAGTTTTCAAAATGTCTGATATGTCGGAAATTTGACTCATGAGCGTGATTTTTGAGCCGAATTCTGACTCTCTGCACCTATTTTCAGTTTCAAATTACGACGTTTCATACCGAAAATATGCCAATTACTGAAAACGGCGATGGGTCATATTTTGCCCAACCCCCCCTGCAGTTTTTAAAATGTCTGAAATGTCGAAAATTTGACTCCTGAGCGTGATTTTTGAGCCGAATTCTGACTCTCTGCACCTATTTTCAGTTTCAAATTACGACGTTTCATACCGAAAATATGCCAATTACTGTAAACAGCGATGGGTCATATTTTGCCCAAACCCCCCTGCAGTTTTCAAAATGTCTGAAATGTCGGAAATTTGACTCCTGAGCGTGATTTTTTATCCGAATTCTGACTCTCTGCACCTATTTTCAGTTTCAAATTACGACTTTTTAAACCGAAAATATGCCAATTACTGAAAACGGCGATGGGTCGTATTTTGCCCAAACCCCCCTGCAGTTTTCACAATTTCTGAAATGTCCGAAATTTGATTCCTGAGTGTGATTTTTGAGCCGAATTCTGACTCTCTGCACCTATTTTCATTTTTAAATTACGACTTTTTATCCCGTAAATATGCCAATTACTGAAAACGGCGATGGATCATATTTTGCCGAAACCCCCCTGCAGTTTTCAAAATATCTGAAATGTCCGAAATTTGACTCCTGAGCGTGATTTTTGAGCCGAATTCTGACTCTCTGCACCTATTTTCATTTTCAAATTACGACTTTTTATACCGAAAATATGCCAATTACTGAAAACGGCGATGGGTCATATTTTGCCCAAACCCCCCCTGCAGTTTTCAAAATATCTGAAATGTCCGAAATTTGACTCTGGAGCGTGATTTTTGAGCCGAATTCTGACTCTCTGCACCTATTTTCATTTTCAAATTACTACTTTTTATACCGAAAATATGCCAACTACTGAAATCGGCGATGGGTCATATTTTGCCCAAACCCCCCTGCAGTTTTCAAAATATCTGAAATGTCGGAAATTTGACTCCTGAGCGTGATTTTTGAGCCGAATTCTGACTCTCTGCACCTATTTTCATTTTCAAATTACGACTTTTTATGCCGAAAATTTGCAATTACTGAATAATGCGATGGATCATATTTTGCCCAAACCCCCCCTGTAGTTTTCAAAATATCTTAAATGTCGAAAAATTGACTCCTGAGCGTGATTTTTGAGCCGAATTCTGACTCTCTGCACCTATTTTCATTTTGAAATTGCTACTTTTTACACCGAAAATATGCCAATTACTGAAAACGGCGATGGGTCACATTTTGCCCAAACCCCCCTGCAGTTTTCAAAATATGTGAAATGTCGGAAATTTGACTCCTGACCGTGATTTTTTTAGCCGAATTCTGACTCTCTGCACTTATATCAATTTTCAAATTACGAATTTTTATACCAATAATTTCCCAATTACTGAAAACAGCGATGGGTCATATTTTGCCCAAACCCCCATGCAGTTTTTAAAATATCTGAAATGTCCGAAATTGGACTCCTAAGCGTGATTTTTTAGCAGAATTTTGACTCTCTGCACCTATTTCCATTTTTAAATTACAAATTTTATACCGAAAATATGCCAATTACTGAAAACCGTGATTGGTCATATTTTGCCCAAACCCCCCTGCAGTTTTCAAAATATCTGAAATGTCCGAAATTTGACTCCTAAGCGTGATTTTTTAGCCGAATTCTGACTCTCTGCACCTATTTTCAGTTTCAAATTACGACTTTTTATACCGAAAATATGCCAATTACTGAAAACGGCGATGGGTCATATTTTGCCCAAACCCCCCTGCAGTTTTCAAAATGTCTGATATGTCGGAAATTTGACTCATGAGTGTGATTTTTGAGCCGAATTCTGACTCTCTGCACCTATTTTCAGTTTCAAATTACGACGTTTCATACCGAAAATATGCCAATTACTGAAAACGGCGATGGGTCATATTTTGCCCAACCCCCCCTGCAGTTTTTAAAATGTCTGAAATGTCGAAAATTTGACTCCTGAGCGTGATTTTTGAGCCGAATTCTGACTCTCTGCACCTATTTTCAGTTTCAAATTACGACGTTTCATACCGAAAATATGCCAATTACTGTAAACAGCGATGGGTCATATTTTGCCCAAACCCCCCTGCAGTTTTCAAAATGTCTGAAATGTCGGAAATTTGACTCCTGAGCGTGATTTTTTATCCGAATTCTGACTCTCTGCACCTATTTTCAGTTTCAAATTACGACTTTTTAAACCGAAAATATGCCAATTACTGAAAACGGCGATGAGTCGTATTTTGCCCAAACCCCCCCTGCAGTTTTCACAATTTCTGAAATGTCCGAAATTTGATTCCTGAGTGTGATTTTTGAGCCGAATTCTGACTCTCTGCACCTATTTTCATTTTTAAATTACGACTTTTTATCCCGTAAATATGCCAATTACTGAAAACGGCGATGGATCATATTTTGCCGAAACCCCCCTGCAGTTTTCAAAATATCTGAAATGTCCGAAATTTGACTCCTGAGCGTGATTTTTGAGCCGAATTCTGACTCTCTGCACCTATCTTCATTTTCAAATTGCTACTTTTTATACCGAAAATATGCCAATTACTGAAAACGGCGATGGGTCATATTTTGCCCAAACCCCCCTGCAGTTTTCAAAATATCTGAAATGTCGGAAATTTGTCTCCTAAGCGTGATTTTTGAGCCGAATTCAGACTCTCTGCACCTATTTTCATTTTCAAATTACGACTTTTTATACAGAAAATATGCCAATTACTGAAAATGGGTCGGCGAGGAGTCGTGATATTCTTTCTGCACCTATTTTCCCAAATCCCCCTGCAGTTTTCAAAATAACTGAAATGTCGGAAATTTGACTCCTAAGCGTGATTTTTGAGCCGAATTCTGACTCTGCACCTATTTTCATTTTCAAATTACGACTTTTTATACCGAAAATATGCCAATTACTGAAAAAGGCGATTGGTCATATTTTGCCCAAATCCCTCTTCAGCACCTATTTTCAAAATAACTGAAATGCC